GTTTAAAACAGAGGAACTAATGGGCTTGAGCAGCAATTCAGATCAACCACCCAGCATGTCCCTGTGTAGCACTGTGCTGCTTCTGTCCATAGCCATTCCCTCAATCCCTCCACAAGAGAAGCCAAGAAAGACAGCATTTGCAGCTGGAGCTAAAACTGAAGATATTAATTAAAAGAGCTGGAATAGAGGTAATGGCAAAGCACAGCATAGACATCCTGCATAGGATCACATGAAGGATGTACCTGCAGCTGCAGTGTTGTGGTAGAAAATCTGTAAGATATACAGTACACCATGCATTGGTCCAAAGAGGAAAGAAGTGCATTGATTTCTTATGGGGCTTTAGGGCAGTAAGAGACTTTCCTTTTAATCTTTTTCAAGCAGATTCATCAATCTTTGTCAACTATAGCTGTGTTCTCATTTGATCTACAGCTGCGGCAAGGCCAGGAATGCACTAGGTGGTGTGCAGAAGGAAAGGGAAGCTGTTTCCTGCTGTTAACAAACTGTCTTTCAAAAGGGCAGTTATTTGGAGATGGATGTGATGGGCCAATGTGAAAGTCCACATGGGATGTTGTAGAAAGAAACCCTCTCTAGAAGAAATGCACACGTTTTACATGGCCTCCAAAAGAAATGAATGAGTAACCACAAGGACTGGAATTGCATTAACACCCTGGAAGGCACAGAGAACAACAACAAAAAACAAAACAATTACGCTTTTCTTTTTTATCCAATGCATCAGAGGCTTTAAACAAGTAGGGTAAAGTCCATGCAGCCAATGCTGGGCCCTGCTCCTTATGGTACATGTAGCATGCATCAGTGAAAAGTTTTCCTGTAATTTTGTAGGACATACAGTCAGGAATTTGGATATCTCGGAACTGTGTAGACTAGAGATTAGAGATCCCATCCTGAAAATAGGAATTTCAGAAAAATCATTTGCACTGTCATATTATTGAGATCGCTGGACTATAAACACAACAATGACTGAAAGAAAAGGGGAAGAGGAAGGGGAAGGGGAAGGGGAAGCGGAAGGGGAATAATATAAAAATCAGACAACGTGCAAGAACCAGAAAGCACTTAAGATGATTAAATCCATCAACTCCATTCATGCCATCCCAGCAAGAGAAAGAGGGAGCATGAGACCAGATCCTGCCTGAATTTTAACTTCAGCAGACCTAAGCAGATAATAATTGCTTCAGATGAAAACCCTTGGAGAAGAGCCAGAGAATCCCAAATCATTCTCTGATTTCAACTTTCAATTTACCCAGCCAGTGCTAAGCTCATTAATCATACTTGCAGCGCAGAACACAACAGAAATTAGTCTCTGATCTTCTCCCCTCATACTTGATGATGTGTGGAGTTGGGGGCAAGAGGAAGAGAAAAGAGATGGAGAGGTGCCACCCATGAATCTAACAGTCACTTGGAGGGGCTGGGATTAATAAATCAAAAATCCATTATTAATAATACTAGCTTAAATATCTATCTAAATGCAAATGAATGAACACTGGGGGTTTCTATTTCTTTAATGTGCTCTAACAACTCTGTCTTAGAGGAAGCACATGCCTACATGGTTATTGTGTATTTTAATTGCAATTTTACAGTTCAACCCTCAGTGTCCCATGGATTTTAAGTGGTCTTAAAGGGCCACAGCATGTTTTGAATTTCAAGGTCTAATGCGAGAATTGCTTTGAGTTTCCTGCCCCTGCACACTGGTCACATTAAATGCAAGGGGTAAATCTAGAGGTTGGTTTGCTACAATCTGATGGAAGTTAGAGCTCCAAGGTATACAGTATCAGATGAGTGAATGGAGACACAAGGAAGGTTCCCATGGCTGACCAGCCTTGAAACAGGAATCTGCAGAGCTATGCAAGGAGCCAGCAGTATCTTCTGAGTAAGCAACATCGTATCAGGCTGCCTTGGGTTGCATGGAGAATACAGCAGGGTGAAACCATACAAAATAAAGCTGTAGAGCCATTAAATTGGTCAGAGCTTGCAATTAGGATTTATTTAAATTCATTCACATGCACAACCGTCTTTTGAGGCCAATCAGTGGAATAAATTCCAACGTTTTTTAAAAAAGGGAGTAGTAGGGAAGAGAAGGTAAGAAACAAAGGGGAACTCATGTAATATGGTCTAATGATGGATGTCCTTGCCCACAATAGGGAGGTTGGAACTAGGTGATCTTTAAAGTCCCTTTCAACTCAAACTATTCTAAATTTCCTGGCTGCGCGTCATCAATCATGAACTCAAACATGTACCAGGCAACAGATTCAGGGTAACCTAAAAATCCTTACTCAAAATGGGAAATAAATATCTAAAAGTATGATCTAAAATCCTTGACAGCTCTAGCGTGCAGCTCAAGTTTGAGGTGAACATTCAGGCCCGGACAACAGGGTTTACATAGTTTGCCCTTCATTGGACTTTGGAGACAGCAGTGGAGGCAACTCAGCTTTTAAATGTCATGCAAACAACCTTGCAGCTCCTGTTGCCAATTCTTACAGGATCAGATTTAGCTTTGGAACATGCCCTTGCAAAACCTGCAGACACCAGCATTTTGAAGTTTTCAACTACCTAAGATGCAAGTGTTGTTGGCTGAAAACACTTGCATGTATGCATGCACATACTCACCAACACACACACAAAGCTGAATTTTAGCAATAACATTTGTGCAGTCTGCTGGGATTTTGGAAACCATCACTGACAACAGAACCACAATGTCAGTGCCAAGAAATCACCTGCTGCAGTCTTAGCTATGAGCCCGTCCTCTGATCACAGAATCATAGAATCATTAAGGTTGGAAAAGACCTTCAAAATCATGTAGTCCAACCATCAACCCATCACCACCATGCCCACCAAACCACATCTCTCACTGCCACATCCCCACAGTTCTTGACTACCTGCAGAGAATGTGACTCTATCACCTCCTTGGCAGCCTGTTCCAATGCCTGACCACTCTTTCTGAGAAGCTTTTCCTAATGTCCAACCTGAATGCCATGGAGTTGTAAGGATTAGAATGAATTCCTAACGTCTTGCACTTGTAGAGAGAAAAGCACAAGTTGCCAAGCCTTGGGATCAAGCACACAGAGCAGCCAGACTTCCCATGACAAGGCAGAGTCAACAGTGTTGTTCTGGGCACTGCTTTGCCATTCTGCAACGGCATCCAAGCTTCTCACCCTTCATGTTTCTTACACTGAGCATGTATCAGTGCCAATTCTGACAGATATATATCCAATCTGAATGGCACCATACTCTCTTGGATATAACCACATGCAGACTAAATTTTGCTCTTTTCCTTCTCATACTACGAAAAATAAATAAATAAATAAATAAAATAAAATTAAATGGAATAAGTCCAGATCTGAGCACAGGAAGGAAATATCTCCAACTTTCTGGGCATAATTTTCTCACTAGGACTTTAGAAGCAAAAGAAATAAAATGATGTGAAGACTAGAAATCACATTGGTTCCAATTTTTGCCTTTACTAGCCAAAAAAAAAAAAAAAAAAGTTGTACACAAATGCTCTAACCCCATTCCAGCACAGAAAGACAGGAGATTCAATCCTGTCCTTGTTCAAGCCTTGCCTTGAGTCTGCCCACCTATAGACAACCCTCTACTCTGGGCTGACCTACAGACCTGGCGCACAGATAATATAGTACAGTCCTAATTTACTTATTTCACATGTGTCTTTCTCCGTGAGGTCACCACAGCACTCAAGTCCAGGCCTTGCTCCTGAGTAGCAATTGTCCTCCAGTGGTGAAGTAATTTTCACTACAACCCAGAGGGGCCACTGCTGCCCTGGGGAATAACATAGGTCTGATTTCACAAGCTCAGATTTTCCCTGGGTTCCTCAGCTTTCATTTGGATCCACTGATACATGCCAAATTAATCACAGGCCAACAAGAACTGACTGCAAATATGTTGCCCGCCTATGTGTGTATAAGCTACTTAATGGAGCATAAAAAGAGAAGAATAAAATCATTTTTCAGATGCTGCAGATAATAATAATAAATAATAATAAAGCAGAGATATGTGCCAAATGCATGAGATCTCAAGGAGAGAACCTGAGTGTAAGCAGAAAAGGAGTAAGGTTAGTCTTCAAACTGAGATGCAAAAGTCAATGAAGTAAAAACATCATTAAATGAAATACTTTGGATCCCCGTCAAGTTCATTCAGGATTTAAGACTGCACTTTCAAAATGTGGTGGTTTATTTTTTGTTTTTCTTTAAAGATATAAAATCCTTGGCATCTATTTTCCATGTGGAATCCATAGTGCTGGCCCTTTTTATTAACTTTGGATTTTTTTTCCCTGCTGACTACAATTATATCACTCAAGGAATCCTGATCAGAGTCAGCAATGGCAGGAATTATCATGGAAATCATATTATTATATCACAATAACAAAACCATGGTAGGCTACATTTGCAACAGTAGATTCTACTTTTGCACTATTCTCCTTATGGTGCACAGTTTGGTTCTGAGCATTGAAAAGAACCAAACAGATACATCTTGCTCATTTTAGAGCAACCAGCAGATGATCCCACGAACCTGGGTCTCACTTATTCCTCATGCTGCAAAGTCCAAAACTGAAAGAATCAGAATGAGAAAGCTACCTTTGCAAAATGGAGGCTGAAGTCAAAGGAATACACAGCTCCCAGTGAACAGAAGAAGAAACATCCCTTCTCAAACTGAGATGATTTCCTGCTATAGGTACATAATGCTTACAGCACACAGAACTAATTATGCGCTACACTGGCAACAACTGACTGCAGTTCTTCAAATGTAGGACTGGCAGTAATACACAACAGAGAGATGTATCTATAAGAAGAAAGGAATTGTTCCTACTATGGCAAAGGGCTTTGCCAGTCATTAAGTTTGACACAAGAAAAAACTAAGTAGAGGAGAGTGCAAGCAACTACAACAGACTAATGCATCACTGATAAACTGTGCTGATTTCACCCCAAAAACACTTGAGCCCATAAGAATAAACAGAAGCCCACAGAACTCACCTATCAGTTTCATCCCACAGGATGCAGGTCTGGTTGGTGGTTCCCTGTCAGAAAAAAAGGAAAAAAGAAAAATGAAGCAAATCAGTGCTATACTTTCTATGGGGTATTTGAGGGAATAAGAAAGCAATATTCAGATCCCATCGAACATCTTCCACTACTCTAAACATGCCATATCTATGAAGTTCTATATTGACAATCACAAATGTGAGTTCTTGGAACACCTTTTTCCCTTCTTGGTTTGAAATGTAAAAATAAAACGGGCCTTAATTTGTTTTTCATCAACACAAGACCTATGCAAGGATATGACTACATCTTTCCTCTCTCCACCTACTGATGTTCTTCTTCCGTCACAGAATCATAGAATCACCAAGGTTGGAAAAGACCTCTAAGATCATCCAGTCCAACCACCCACCTATCATCAGTATTTCCCACTAGACCATGTCCCTCAGTACAACATCTACACGTTTCTTGAACACCTCCAGGATTGGTGACTCCACCATGTCCCTGGGCAGCCTGTTCCTGCCCCTGACCACTCTTCTGGAGAAGTTTTTCCCAACATCCAACCTGAATCTCCCCTGGTACAACTTGAAGCCATTCCCTCTAGTCTAATCACTAGTTGATTAGATGAGAGAAAAGGCCACCTTAACACAACCTCCCTTAAGGTAGTTGTAGAGAGCATTGATGTCTCCTGAGCCTCCTTCAGAATAAACAACACCAGTTCCTTCAACTGCTCCTCATAAGACTTGTGCTCCAGACCCCTCACCAGCTTCTCTTTCCTTCTCTGAACATGCTCCACGGCCTCAAAGTCTTTCTTGTAGTGAGGGGCCCAAAACTGAACACAGTACTTGAGGTGCAGCCTCACCAGGGCTGAGTACAGGGGATGATCACCTCCCTGCAATTCTATGATTCTATGATTCTAAAGCCACTGAAAGAGGTTTAGCACAACTTCTACAGCTATCTTTGTGCACTTTTGAAAACTCTTCCCCAAAAGTCCAAAGTACAGACATGACAGACCTAATATTCATGTTCCTGAGCCTCAGGAAGACATCTGAAATCCACAACAAGAGGAGTCTTTAGGGCAGTGTAAATGTCCATCACATACATCTGCTTGGGGTTGCACAGGGGAACCTGGAGGGAATATCGTCTGCCTTTTACAGCACTGATCACAACATTAATATTCATGTCTCTAGTAATCTCTGCAAAGAACATTTCAAGCATCAACCAAAACAACTTTTCCCCTCCATCTTCCCCTCACCAAGAAAGATCACTGTCAGAGTCCATTTTTCACTGCATTTTTTTTGGCCTCAGAGAAATGATCTCTCTGGCACAATGTAATGTAATGTAAATCTGGGACAAGTATACTCATGTTCCTTGTGCAAGCAGTACACCTCTGCATCAGCAATGCTTGAGCAAGGAGGCAAAATTTGAAAGGCACAGCACTGAGAAACAGCGAGACCCCAACATCAGCCCAGACTCAGGATGGCAGAGATGTGCCTCAGCAGCCTGATTAAAAGGAGATTAAAGGATTCTGCAGTGGCAAAGACAGTTCAGGAGCCCAGTAAATCTGCATCCTTCTTCATAATATTCCTCCTCAGCAGAAACATGCACAGATGTGGGATAGTGAAGGTTCCCAGGAAAGACTTACATTGTACAGGTGGGAGAATTCAATTTCCAAAGGGGTGAGAAGGGACCGGGGAAATGGCTTCACAGTCACAGAGATGACTCTGGAGTTCAGAACAGTGCTGTTCCTGGGAAGAAGGGCAAAAAGAAATGCTTTAAGAGGACTTGGAGAAGGTGATGAATCCCCACTGCATCCCTTTGCAAAATAGACAGTCCCATTGAATTCATCACTGTGGCACAAGTTTTAGTATATACGGTGCAGAAGAGATTGGCACCATTACTTTATAATGCTTTCAGAGACTAGTGATGTAACCCATCCTCTGGCCTTTGAGATCTCCCCACTGGATGCTAACCACCTAAATACACAACAGATCCTGGTATTTCTACAACACAGAAAGAATTGTCTGTCTAAAAGTATGTAAAGTCCACATGACCAACCATTGAAAGTGCTGCCCTCAAAGTATGCCATGAAGGAATTAGAAGTAGAATGGGAGCTCCTCCTACAGCCATGGACAAACAAAATTTCTCCCCCTTCAAAACTTCATCACATCTAATGGCATTGGCAAAACCTGGCATTGGCAAAAATTTCACTCTTCTATCTGCCTCTTTACAAAATGATTACTTGGAGAAGATTTGTACTTGCTTAAGCATGAGAGGGTTAAAAAAATAAACCACAAAATAATTAATAAAAGTGAACAAAAGATCTCAAAACCAAAGCAAAATAAACCTGGAATCATCCAAGAATCTGTCAGTGGATGCTCAGCAAATGACTATTGTCCAATGGTAGGAAAAGCAGAAAGAACAGCAACAGTGTTTTAGAAAGTTAAAGAAAAAAAAAAAACAAAGCTGAAAAGAAAAAAAGCCAACAAATTATTACGGTTAAAATTTAATTAAAATTGGGAAATAAGAAAATGAAGCACAGAAGTCAGTCTACAAAGGTTGAACAAAGAGGGAATTCAATAGGAGTAAACATCAGCTTTATGCTTTGAAACGTAGGTAGCTGTAGATAAGCTGAAAAAGAGCTGCTGAAAGGTAAAAAATTTTATGCGTGGCTTCTTTAATAGCTGGGTCTGGAAAGGTCAGTTCTTTTTTCAGCCCTGTTCAATATTTGCGTGAACACTGTCATGACTTCCTCATGAGGAAGCTGCAGGCTGCCATGAGGCCTCCCCTCAGCCTCCTCTGCTCTCAGCTGAATAAATCAAGGGACCTCAGCTGCTCCTCGTACACTTTGCCCTCCAGACCCTTCACCATCTTCTTGGCCTGCCTTCAAGTGCTCTCTAACAGTTTTATGTCCTCATATGTGGTGCCCAAACCTGCACCCAATGCTTGAGGTGAGGCCGCATAGCGCAGAGCAGAGAGGGACAATCCCTTCCTTCACCCTTCTTTGAGAGTTCAAAGCAGAGACCCAGAATTGATCCAGATGTTGGAAAACAAGCCAAGAGATGTCTTTTGAAAGGCATGTCTGGCACTTTCTTGCATGTGGAGGAGACACTCACACAAAGGCCCAATGTGTAGAGGTGAAAATCAGATGAATTGAGCCTTAAAACAAGAGGCTGCCTCCTAACAGAGAAGGTATTAAGAATCTGAGCAGCTTGCCAGGAGAAGTGAGGGCCTCAGCATCATGGGGAATCTTTCAGGAAGAAGACGAGTTGCTTTTCTTTGATACGTGCTGTAGGCCAGCTTCTGGGAAGGAAACCAAACACGCTGAGCTCAGGCTTGAGCAGGAGGTCAGATTTGCTCAGTGTGTTCCTACACAGCTAGAAAAGGCATGCAAACAGCTGTAAACATGCTCATTGCCACACAGGGCCATCACGCCGCTGATTCTGATTGTTGCATGCATCCTCTGCAACAGAGCCCAGCTGGGACTGAGTGATGCTCACTTCCCCATCTTGAAAAACTGCACGTCTTGTATGTCCCTGTCTCAATGGTCACAGCTGTCAAGAGCCACAGAGCTCTATGGATCTGAGGGACAGAGCAATGTGTGGCTGAGATAAGAGATTGCCACGTGGGGGAGGTAAACTGGGACAATTAGGAAAAGCTCAGCTGGTACTGTTTACCAAGTTCAATTTACACTGTATTATACAAATACATATATATATTAGAGGAAAAAAAATCCCTGCATTGAGGCAATGTGGTCAAAACCAGGATCTGGCACCTCACGTGTGTCCAGGAGATATTTTCACTCTCTAGATAAGTGCCACACAGCTACATGGTTATTTATAGACATTCCCTTTTTTCTTCCTATGTCCATTTGCGCGGTGGTGAATTAGGAGGTACTGTTCTGCTGCTGCTTCTGTTACCTCCTTTTCTTTTTGCCTTCTATAGCCACAGGTGATTCAGAACTCTGCATTATTTAAAGAGGGACTGTCCTTTAATTAAGGAACATCTTAAATCAGATCTCCTGTGGGAACGTTGTTCAGAGGCTGCGGCTGCTGCAGCTGCTGGTTATCGGAGCTCATTCACTGCTTGGCCAGAAAATGCTGAAATACCACTGGATCATTTGAGCCAATGATGTTTATTGCCCTTCTGATCTAATTCCCAGTGCTGTAATGGAAGATATTACAGAATACAGTTAGCTTGCTAATTCCTGTCTGCACTCACTTGGAGCTCTTTTGCCAGAGCTGAATCTGTAGGTATTTAAATGATTATCAGTGAGGAGAGATGCCCTGGTGTTTATGGTAAATGGGCTCACACTAATCAGTGCAGAACAGATTTAGAAGGTGCCTTAGGATTCTTAATTTACGGCCTCAGTACGAGCCTCAAAAAAAAACCAAAACAAAACAAAAAAGGAATACAAATAAGGAACAAATTAAAAAAAAAAAAATTAAAAAGAGCAAGATAGTGAGAGAGAAAGGGAGAGAAGAAAAGCGAAGGCTGAACACAAAAGCTTCAGTGCCCAAGGCAGTTTGCAGCAGCCAGAATGTGGTAGACATGTGCAGCCAAGCATGTCACTCCACTCCTCTCCTCTCCTCTCCCTGAGTCCGGCTCTCCCTGAGCCATGATGCTCTCAAAAGGTTCATCATGGTTGGTGGCTCCTCGGTAGCTTGAGAGAATTGGGGCAGCTGGGCATCCTTCCCCTTATCATTTAAACCCCTTCAGATCCCTTATAATGAGAAATGGAGCAGGAGGACTCATTGCTGGAGGAAGAATAGAAGAGGTGAGCAGGGATTGAGCAGCACCAGCACAGTGGTTCAGCTTGAAGCAGGGTTGCACAGGTGAGAGAAAGGTTTCCTCCCCCTCTAAAAAGCAATGTCTGATACACATTAGTATGATCCTACCTGATTAGAGGTTGGTGGGGGAACAAAATGCATTGCATCACCAAGTCAAAGCCTGCTACATTGCACCTTTGGAAACTCAGGGCTCTGCAGCCAGGAAGATCAGCAGGAAACCTTGGTGATATCCCTAACTGCCTGCTCTCCCTAGGCAGCCCCCTCCTCATAAAACCACAGGATATCAGAATGGTGGAGATTGGAAGGGACCTCTGTGGGTGATCCAGTCTAATCCCCTTCCTCAAGCAGGTCCACCTTAGCAGGATGCCCAGGACCATGACCAGGTGGCTTTTGAAGGTCTCCAAGGAGGAAACTACATAACACCTCTGGGCAACATGTGTCAGCGTTCCATCACCTACACAGCTGGTAAGTGCTTCCTTATGTTCTGATGGAAACCCCTGTGTTGTTTGTGCCCATTGCCTTTTGTACCAACACTGGGTACCACTGAAGAGAGCCTGTCTCTGCCTTCATTGCATACCCCTAGAGGTATTTATGGACATGGATGAGATCCCTCTGCACCTCCTCTTCTCCAGGCTGAGCAGTCCCTGCACTTTCAGCCTTTCCTCATGGGAGAGGTGCTTCGGGCCATTCGTCATCTTGGTGACCCTTAGTCACCCCCCTCCATTATGTCCGGTTCTCTTGTACTGGGAGGGGGCAGAACTAGATCAAGTACTTCAAGTGTGACCTTACCTCTGGAGCGAGAGAATGTTGCCCACATTCCGGTACAGCACAGTCCCTACCACGAAGACTGAAGAGTCGTCTGTCTCTGCAGGACACCAGAGGGAAGGGAAAAAGACAACAGCACTGAGATAATCCAAAAGTTCATCTGTCCCCAGCTAAATTCTCTCCACCCCAAAATCCACCAGTGTAACACACAGAGAAGGGACAGGACTGGAAGAGGCTGGATTCAGTTCTTTTTCCTCTTTCATTTGTTATGTTTCCAAGGTGACATCCAAGGGCAGGATTGGATCTCTTATTGGGGCCTCTGTTGGGGTGCATCCATTGCCAGCATCACTACAGTGGGATGCAGTGCCTGATGTCACCACATTGGGTCTCCATCAGACCTGTGAGAGGTCTGAACATTTTTAGGATGACTCTGGTGCCTGCCCCCATGCAAGACTCATTCTGGATGAGCGCTCTCCCATTCAGAAATCCCACTAATCCCTCTGACAGCACCACAGCAGGCAAAACTGCAGGCCGAGAAGGTCTCTTACAGCCACCCAGAGGCATTTGGACACATCCACTGCTATCAAGCCATCAGAGAGAAGTGCTGTGCTTGGGCTGACAAGGGCAGGCAATGAGGGGAGATGTCCCACTGTGCCCGACCTGACCCCATAACTCATGTGCTGCCTCAGGAGGACAGCAGATGAGCCTGAATCATCTGTGTGACCTCTGAACACATCACTTGACCTCCTCCTCTGCCTCGCTCAGCCCAGCTGCAAATTCGCTGGAATATCCCTGGAAAAAGCACAGGCAGTAGAGGCATCCCTGAGGTTGAATTGTCAGAGTGGAGAAGAAATAAGTCACTTGGAGATGAGGAAGTTTGGGGATGTATCATGCTGTGGGGCTTATCTGATGTCTCCTACCAAAGCTGATGTTTGAATGCACTCATTTCCCCAGAAGGGAAGATATAGCTCTGGATGTCTGTCAAATTGGGCTCAGATGAGATAGCAGGTGAAAATCAGGACAGACTGACAGACAGGCTTGCAGAGCAATTGTCCAAGATTTGTCTTCCTAGGAAAGTCCACACAGACTTTTGGCCTTTGTCATGAATCCCTCTGCAACCAAGGATCCTTCTTCCTTTCAATAGGGTTTTCTTCCTTTTTGCTAAGAGAATGCAGTAGAACATTTACAGAAGCAATGTGTGTTCCTATGAGAGTGTGAGCAAATAAAATGCTAAGTCCCACAGGCTGGGTTACCTCAACACCCCCCAGAAAAGGCAGAGGATCCTGATCAAAATAGGGCTGGAGGACTGCCTCTTTTGTTTTGAACAAGGGAAGGGCAGTACAGCCTTGGTGGAACAGAACACCTCAGAAATGTGAAAACTGAGAGGAATTTGGTTTTTCAGGGTAAGCATCACATTTCGTTTGCGCAGTGGCTGCTGCTTAGGAGCCTTACAGCGCTTCTTTGCAATGATATCTGGGAAACAGCTCAATAGGGGAATAAGTGATACCTCCAAGGGTAGGTGTAATCACCAGAGCAGAATCAACTCTGCTATGTCTGGACCCAGAAGTTTGTCCAATGAATGATTAACAGTATACAAAGGTGGAAGTTCCACACCCTCCTCTAATAAGCTGAAATAACCCTCTAAACATGTTCCAAGTTCTTCTAGGAAGATAATGCTATGTTTAAGGCACTATAAAACAGAAGGAGTTTTGTTGGCTTTGGTCCTTGCTCTGCCAGAAACTCACCCTTTATCCTTGAGTCACTTAGCTCTTCTCAGCCTCAGGTAGAAATGACAGCAATGTTATTTCCATCTTGAGTAAGGAAACCTATGACACGAGGTCTTGGTATGACAAAGCCCAAAGGACTTCTGACAGACATAGCTCATTGTCTCTTGCCTTTGTACCAAGGAAGTACAGCACATTCTGGTGCAGTAAACAGCAGCTTGCTCTCTCAAAACCACTAATGCTATGTGCAAGGCTGTCAACAAGGGAAGCCCACCATTTCCCTGCAATCAGCCTAATTTAGAATCCTGTCTTTGAAAATCCATTGATCAATTCTGCCAAATGCTAAGGCTCACTGCCAACACAGGAATACTTGTTTGCATTGGCTGCTGGCTCTGGCATCCAGGTAAAGGCTTTGCTAGCAGAGTCAGATCCATCAGTTGCTCAGCCTGATGTGCTAAGCCTCAGCTGTTCACCTTTGGATGGCTCTTCCAGGACCGGATCCAATCTCAGAGGACATAACAACATTGTTTGCCTGCATGGCTGTCACCCTGCCACAGCTACATTTCTTATGCTGGTTAACTATACTTATAAGGCACCCACAGAGACCACTACGGGTGTCTACCCCTATTAAAAACCCAGAATATTCATAGGGCACATTTCAATTCCCAACCTTCCTTGCAGAGAGAGAATTGGAGACTAAGCTCAGTGCCTACATGCACCAAGAACAGAGCAACTCAGAAAACACAGAGATGTTTTCGCATTATTGCAGGTTCAAAAGCCTTAGAAGAAGCCTTAGAAGCAATCATCAAGATAGTGTTGCCCTGAGTTTCTGTGCTGACTCTTTCTGTTTTTTAAACATGATGATGATCTTGCCCAAGGAGTTCAGATTTGACCCTTGGTCTGGCCACATCTAAAAGCCTTCTTTGCACTCATCTCACTGTGGTGAACTTCTGTGAGCCAATCCAGCTCAGCTGGAAGGAGAATTTGAAGACAGCCAAATGGAAGGAACCTCTGTTAGAAAGTGAATATGATATTTTCTTCTAGGGAGTTCTGACTGTGCTGCTTACCTGTCAGCCCCGAAGACAGGATGCTCTTGGAGACAGTGACCTTGTCTTCTGAATTCTTGGCCCAGTCCACCATGCCTCTCCAGCCTTTCATGGGGAAGGTGATGTCAGTTGCTGCGTTAGCTGGCAGCTTGTGAATGCCAAGGACTAGAGAGAAATAGCAAATAAAACCAGTGAGCAAGACTGGCCTCAATAAATTCACACAAATTGAAAAACCCGCTAGAGTCAATACCGGAAAATCAGACAGCAAAGCCTGCCTGCCTGCACTAAACCTGGAAGAGATGAGATACTTCTACTCCAGGAGTGGCCAGAAGCAGATGCTTAGGGAATTATAAGAAAGAGCAAAGCAAGACTTCTCTTGTCTTGTCCTTCCAGTTTCTAGCAGTCAGCAGGACTTTCTCAGCTTGTGGTTACATCCAGACAATGAACTTTAATAGCCACCGATGGAACTCTCCTTTGTGCAGTTTCCTAATCCCATCATGAGCCAATCTGTATTTTTTGGCTTCTGCAGCATCCTCTGGCAACAAGTTCCATGCTGTGATTGTGCATACAGCATAAATCAAATACTGCCTGCTGTTTGTTTGCTGTCTGATCACTTCATTGGCTGCTGTGCAGCTCTTGTGCTAAAAAACAAAAGGAACTAGCTTAATTCTTCCCAGTTTGTCATCTGTTCTCCGTTCATGGTTCTATAGACATCTCACAAACTATTTTGTGCCCATCTTTTCATCAGGCTCAAGTCCTAGATTATTTGGAGAAAAGCTACTCCATGGTTATGATCATCCACATCTTTCCCCAGACCTTATAATGTTCCACCACCTGCTGCCTTCCCTCTTTCCCTCCCCACATCCAAGATTCTGCATACTGCACTGCAATTACAGGTTCCTGGGGTCTCTACCCAACATGGGAGTGCAAATCAACTCACCCAGATTGTCTGTCACTTGGTAGGAATCCCGGAAATCCTTCATGCGAAAGCCGATGACATCAATGAAATCCTCTACAAGCCTGAACAACTCCTTGGCATTTGGCCCTATCTGCAGAGAGAAGGACAATACTTAGTAGCACAGCTAATAGAAAATGCAGCTAAGGGAGCCTAGAAAAACAAAGGGGCAAGAAATAGTAATTCATAAAATTGAGGCTGGAGGGCAGTGTCTCAAAGCAAAGCAAAGAAAAATATCTGGGAATCTCTGGAACAGAAAATAATCTACCTCCTTTCCTTCAGGATTCTTTCTACTATTAACCACTTGATCCAAGCAGATAAGTTATTGCTAATGCTTGCTATGGCCCACCCCTTGCAGTTAATGCAAGAAGAGCAACATACCAGGACAGACTCTTAGCAGCCATGATTAAATGTAACTACGTGCTCTTTCCAAGTCCTTTGGCTGGAGTACCTGGCCCAGCCTAGCAATACACAAGCCATTGCCAATGCAATTGCCCATCCAGAGGCATCACGATAGAAGGTGAAGAAGTGGTCCATGTTGAAACTCTGCCCTATGTCAAATTTTGAGAGCTTTTTCCAAGCCTTAGGTTTCCCTGTCCCTCAAGTACTGCAACACTTGGCCTCACAAAAAACTCACAATTTCTTCTGACTGTGTATATATATCTATATTTCCTACCAAGAGTGACTCCACAAGACTTTGCCTCTATTAGAATGGTTGATTTTGCTAACAACCCCGTGAAAGCAAACACACCAAACCAAAAACTCCAGCCTACTTTAAGGATAAGGGTAGGTTTCTAGCAGGCTGGTTTCAGGTTTGGTTCCAGGAGGGATGTTTGGGAGAATGTTTCTCACACGTAGACAGCAAAGAAGAAGCACAACTGGATCTGAGGGGATAAGCAGGAAACAAAACTGAAGGAAGGGCTCACTGCTTCTCCTTCCTCTTGGAGCATCTCAGGGAACTTTGGATGTCTATTTGATGAGACACTAGAAAAGAGGCATGCAGCAAGCTGGTGAGTGCAGAGATCTATTCTGTCTTCCATTCTTATTCCCTGTTGAATTTCCAAGGGTTGTTCTTTGGTCTGAGTCTTCCTCTGAATCAAAGACCAGCATGCCATGGTGCACTTCAAAGAAATCCAGACTTAAATTCTCATGGAGGGAGGGAAGAGCATTCTCAAAGGCAGGAATCCAGCCCCTAAACATTATTCTTGAGATCAATCATGCTGTGTTCAGTGACACATGCTTTGACCACCCTAGAAGAAAAACCTTTTAAACTACTTAACAACCTTTAAATTACTTTAAAAACTTCTAAAATACTTAAAATACAGTTAGACTAGATGATCTTTGAGCTTTTTTTCAACCACAAAGACTCTGTGATTCTACTTCAGCTAAGTCCAGTACCTGAAGCACTTGAAGCCTTGAATTCTCATCTGCCTATGAACAGAAGAGGAAGAATAGTGCTGCAGGAGTTGTTTGTATATTTAATACAGTCATTTGTAACTCTATCTGGTACTTGATCACAGTTTGCTGAACCAGATCCCTGACACAGGCATCTCACCCAGTTGTCAACCCGAGTCAGAAACTACCTAAAGAGGAGACCAAATCCTAGCAATGCAAAGGGCTAATTTTGGAGGAAAAAATTGGTCCAGCAAACGCACACTTAGCAATGAACTCCAGGATCTAATGTCAAATCCCAGGCACCAGATCACATAATTCTACGCAGAAAGCATCATCATCCCTTCTTATGCTTTCCCATTCTGATTGCAGGATATCACTCTCCAAATAACCAAGTTGATTTTTGCCCAGACAGTGTTGGATTTTCTCTCTTTTTTTCTTTCTTTCCCTGATATCTCCCATATGATAAAGATATTGGCAATAATTCTTATTTGCCTGTATTTTACTGGGCATGCAAAAGGCTGTCAAACAATAACTGGTTTTGCAGTGACTGATTTCATAAAAGGTAACCCACATGAAATGAACTGTGCTTACTACCTGTCTTTTACTCAAGCACAATTGCCTGCAGAGGTTTAGCAAACATGATGAGAGGTCAAAGAAAAGCAGTCCAACTCCTTACATCTCTTCATTTCCTTTTCCATTACTATTACTTTTTTTTTCCCTGGGGTTATTGATCTTTGAGGACAAGCAGGACAGGAGGAGACCAGGATGGCAGCAGAAGGAAGGCTGTATGGCCAAGGAGGAAAGGGGTGGCCATGCATGACACTCTGTCTGTCTATCCAAAAGAATACTGGTGAGACTAAAATTGTATCAAGATCAGATCAAAAAGTCCTGCCAGTACAGCAGGTGTGCACAGAAGGAGAAAAAACCAAGGAGACTATTTTTAACAGTGTATTTTTATATTCTATTACAGATTGAAAACACAATGTCACATTAACCCCAAGCTACACTGGCCGTTGTCTTTCAGGTTTCTATAATAAAACAGCTAATGTAACCTCACCAAAAGCATGATAGCCCTTCTCTATCTGAATGCCTTTCTGGTTTATTTTCTTTTATATCTTTTCCCCCCATCTTCCACATGGGGGGAAGGGGGGGGCCAAGATGGCACATGAGACCATAATGATGTTGGGTTTATTTCTAAATTCTCGTTTTAAAGGAAATGATTGACCTTGTGAAATACGAGGCATTGGTTTGCTCCCTAAGCTTTGAATGAGAAGGACAGAGACTGCTGAAATCTTTGCCATCCAGTGCCTGAAGATTTCTGAGGCCATTTTCTGTCTTAAAGTCATGGTGTTGTGCTGTCATCACTAATTCCACTAAAATAAATGCCAGGCAAATATTTTCTTCATGGCAATTTAGAGCATCATAGTTCCACTCCTTGCACAGGTTGATGTAATGGTGAGGGCAGGCTGGGCTGTATCTATAGGTACAAAGAACAGATTGCACAGGGAAAGCTGATGGGAACAAATTGCCAGAGAGTGAAACCTGCAGCTGTTTTTATGGAGATCAGCAGGATTTCCCTGTTGTCATGACAACTCGGTAGACTCCTCTGCACTGTTCTCAAATATGTACACACACCTGTGGTCTTGAAATTGGTCCCTTATCTTGCCTGGAGTTAGACTATGCCATCCCCTTCCAAAGGCAATGAGAAAAAAACAGATCTCAGGGAGAAAGGAGGGAAGGATACATCCACAAGGCTGCTCAGCTCTTGGTCGAGGTCCTGTTGCTTGAAGAAACCATAGAGCACCTGAGTACTCCTGTTTCAAGTTCTGAACTACCAACGAGTGTGCACATTTAGTGAAGACTCCTTCCCAGAAGACTTCCCTGGTTGGACTGAAGGTTGGCTTTTTTTTGTGCATGTTAAACAATTTTTTCTTGTTTGTTTAGTATTTTCAATTTGTTTAGCATTGTCTCTCTGATGACTTTCACAGCAACAAGAGATGGTTAAAAAGGGGCTGCCATGTTCTGATCCACACCAATGGGTACTTTCCATAAGACTGATCACTCATAAAGGCTCTCATGTTCCTTGTCCAGGTTACTTTTTATGCTGTGACAAAAAAAGAGCTGGTATTTTTGTTCCAAGGAATAATACTGAGAAAAGGACATGGAAGGAATGAGCATTACTACTGTCCAATTCACCAGAGCTGCTGCTTGTCTGAGGCAGAACCATTTCACTCTTTCCCATTTCACTCTTTTCACTGCATTGAGATGAAGATGTGGAGCAGCTCAAGGGCTCACCAAGGGAATGGGAAAGGAGTAGGTCTTACTGAATTAAAGTGCAACTATGACAGAAGATACAAAGGACAAATATGACATGGATAGATGAACAAACCAGTATGCAAGGGCTTAGTTAGAGAATTATTATGCAGAATCTCAGTATTTGAGAGGACAGAAAGTAAAATATAACTGAATTTTTGCTCATCTCATGCTGAACAGAACCAGAAGCTCAGGCGAGCAGAGCACAACTCTAAGCAAGGAAATCCTGCTTGTCCTGCACCTTTGTAGCCAAGAACTCAAACCCATGTAATCCCATTGCTTTATCTTGGCATGAGGAGAATTATAGCAAGCCAGGAGGGTTATCAACTCCAAATCCAGTCTGATCTTTGAGAGCTATCCAAAATTTGGTATCCACCAGCAGCTTTTTTGCTCTTACTCATGCAGAGATTCTGATTTAGGGCTAAGATCCTGTGGGTTACAGAGCTACTCAGCCTGGCACTGAGATCTGAGATCACCCAAACAACCAGTTGCACATATCAGCTGATTTATAATAACTCCTGCAGAGGTGGTCAACTCTGAAGCTGATCAGAGCTGACCATATCCAAGTAGTTTCTCTCTTTCATTATAAAAAATTATCCAAGGAAAGCAGCAGTGATGGGTGGAGATATTTCCTGGTCTGTGGCAACACGAAACAGATTCATGTTGCACAGAATGCAACCAATGTCTTGACCAATGTGCTGGTCAAGAAGAGCCATGCAGACCATTGTAAACACCCCCTTGTCATGGCTTAAGCCTATGAAGAAGGCTTGATTTGTTTCACAGAAGGTGCTGAAGGTTCATACCAGCTGAGCTTCCTCCCACTTGTCCCGGTTTTCCTCCGATAAAATGTTGCTGATGATCTGGACAAAGTTCTGGAGAAAGGAGACAAAAGAGGAAAAAGGGAAGAGTTAGCAAAACATGGCCTTCTCTAGGAAGGGCATGGTGGTACACAAGGAACACATAAGAATTATCCAGGAGACCTTTCAAGGTACTGTTCCCAAAGTTTCCCACTGCATTTGGCTGGCTTCTGCCTCCAGAGATGTAAACAGTAGTAAAACTTTTTTCCCAAGTTTTTTCTCTCTCATTCCTGCTAAGGAACAGGACTGGGAATATGTCTTATTTTCAGTGTTGAAGATTTTAAAGAACAGATTAGACAGATATCTGTCACAACGTGGGTAAATACCGTTGATCTTGCCTTGCAGAAATCAATTCCTACCCTATTTCCTACTATTTCCATTGCTTTCCAGCATAGGGAAACTTACTATCTTTTTTTTTTTCAGTGACTTTGAAAGAGAAGCAGAGATGGATCAAGTGGGTGCTAAGCCTTGTAGTACTTTGACCATGAAACGCACAATGAGAAGGAAGAAGACAAGATATTTTGAGACCATTGATCTTTTTCTCAAGTTTTGTCACCATTTGCAGATACTGCTGGATCAGTTTAATGTTTCAAGTTGTGTGGTGCTGATCAATCCCAAGTGCATATTTTGTACCACTCCATATGCAACTGCTGAAAGTAAAATCCTAGGGTGAGAAGCCATCAAGACATTCTCCCACATCAACATCCAGCTACCCAATATCACAGGGTCATCTTACATCTAGTCATTAGGCTGTAGTTCTTTCCAGTATACCAATTAACTTCCAGTGTAAGTGCTACCAGGTTGTAATAGTTCAGAGTGACTTTGAATTTCAAGATCTTATTTTATAAGCCAGGGAGAAACAATCTCAAAGGGAGGGTTTGTTAACAAGCAAAGACACTTCACTTGGGCAGAATATAATCCCGTTGTTCATCAGTATCAAAACAGCTCAAAAAGAGGTAATCAAACCCTGAGCCTTATGCAAGTGGCTCAGCTCACCTGCACATCTCCAGAAGTTGGGCTGTGATAAGCCCTACGGAAGATCTCTGTCATGTTCCTGAGTACATCAATGGTGGACAGCAAGTCTCCGCTGTAGCTAGTCCCATCCTGGGAGATTTCCACAAGGTTCTGGAGCACTTCTGACAGCCCATCTCCCATCAATCCACGCTGAGCTTTGGAAAGATGCTCCCTGGTCTGAGGAACAGAAACACAACAAACACTTCAGTGACAGTGAAAGTCAAGTTAATGAGCTCGGCGAAGGAATTGCTGGGGGAAGGTTTATGACCTTCTTTGTAATTCGGAACACAGATTAGACGAATCTGACAATCTTTGCTGACCTGACAGCCTGTGATATTTTTAAAATGATAGAAGAGCAAAAGTCAATTTTTTCTGCATGCCCACAAAGAAAAGGTTGTGTGTAGGTTCAGAAAAGATTATTCTACTACAGAAATGCTATTCTGCTGCTGACCCAAGGCCAGCTAGCAGAAGATTTTTGCCCTAGAACCTTGTTTTTTTAGTAAACTTGAACTATTTTAGCTCAGACTGTAGCTCATCCTGAAAAGGACAGTTTTCATACAGTCAATAGCATTGTAAGGCAAGCCATAGGAGACTAGCAGAAAAAGGATAATTCACCACAGTAGTAATTTTAAGTCTAATGAAAATTAAGTGTCTTATTTAAAAGTGTTACAATCACAGTAATTCTCATGGATAATGTGATACCAATGGATATCACAATGGATATTAATGTCCCTGTCCATTGCAGGTGAGTTGATTTAGGTGACCTTTAAGGGTCCCTTCCAACTCAAATGAATCTGTGATTCTATTACGTGGTGGAGGACATGATAAGACTTGGATTCTAACAAGCTAGGTATTAAAAGCCTCAGAGAGAAAACATTATGGTCCATGGATTGCCCGAGCAATCACAAGACAAAAGCAACTAGACAAAAGCAGAACAGAGCTGTCATCTTCCTTTTACATGGAAATCCTGCTTTCCTTCTTCTTTGTAACTGTGATAGTGTAACAAGTCTCTGAGGAGACCCCAGATGTGTTTAAACCTGCCGTCAGTTTGCCTTACCATCATCTGTATGTTCCTGTAATCAATAGAAACACACTTGACGTATGTTGGAGGTTCCCAGTAAGCGATCCCTTCTTCATCTAAAGTGCATCTTCGAAGGATTAGCCCTAGAAGAGGAAAGAAAAGAAGATTGGAGTGGGGACATTTGAAAAGCCAGGCACTCTCACGGAAATCACAATGGACAGGTCGACGCATCTATGCAGGCACAACTACAGACACAAAAGCAGCAGGGGCATCTGGAAAGTGATTGAGAGGTCATTTTTATTTCCTCCTCCTGCATTTTCTTACTAAGAGACAGGACAACAAAAGGAGATACAAATGAAAAAGTGTAACTGGGTCATAGTTTGTCTGTCATATGGTCTCAGTCATATCGCCTTTGACTTTTGCGAAGTCTTGTGTGGAGCCAGAAGTTGGACTCAGTAATCCTTATGGGTCTTTTCCAACATGGTATATTCTATGATTTTGTAATTCTTAGGCAAAAGAAAGTTTAATCAGTCCTGCAGGGCAGGCTTCTTCCCGGTTCAAGAAGTCCCACGAGCCTCCCCAGGTGGCAAAGTCTGGTATTTGCAACTGAAGCACTGACTGCTGCTGCCTACACAGTCTCAACAAAAATAAATATCCAACAGCACCATCTTTGCATCTGATGAAAAAAACTGAAAAGCTGCCTGCAGTTCTCCCCCAGGCTTTTCTTTAGCTTCAGTGTACAGTGAGTTTTGCAGTGGTAATCACACGCCATTTCAATGCAGAGGAACACATACCTCAGCGAAGAGAAAGGGGATAGGAATAGCCCAGGCAATTGCACTGCCATTTGGAAAGTCTCCGAGGAGCAGGCTTTGCTGGGTGCACAATTCCATTGCTACTGCTAAATGATTCAGTGACCTATGGTACAGCCCTTCTTCTAGGCTAGCATTAGGAATTACACTGACTGTTCCAGGATGCATGAGTCAACGAGAGCTTCAGGGTTTTCTGTGTCCAATGAACTTACTCATAAAGATTAAAAACTTTATGATTGCTACAGACACTCCTGCCCTATTTTATTTCCCTGCCTGAGAGTCAGAAACATGCAGCTGGGAACAATCTCCATCAGCAGAACATCTGAGCCTTCTCCCCTGTGTTATTTTCCACTTCTTGGAATATGTGGCCACAACATATAACAACTGAATGCCCAGGTACTATTGTTTCATACCACCACGACTGGACTCTCAACTTGAGTACCTGAAGATTAAGTTCACAGAGTTTCTATGATTTCTAAAAAAGAGAGCTAAGTATCACTGGGCAACCTGATCTAGTGGATGGCAACCTGCCCATGGCAAGGGATTTGGAAACAGATGATCTCTAAGCTTCCTTCCAACATAGCCATTCTATGATAATCAAAACATGACTGGGCAATCAAATTCAGATTTACTACTCTGTTTTATGGTCAGCAGAGAGAAATATAACACCCAAGTCTAGTCTAGTAGAGCCCACCCTGCTTTTGCAGAATAGGATGGAATTGCCGCAGGAGCCCTTAATAATGAAGCTGCTTAGCAGTAGGAAACAGCTGGAGGAGAGACCATCTCAAGTTGTCCTGTATGGACCAGAGGTTGTTGGTAAATACTTAGAAATCCACAGACAGTGTACATAGCCTTGAGTAAAGGGCAGAAAGCCCATTTGCTCATCCTCTCTTCTCACAACCAGATTGCCCTTGTCTAGAAGTCAAAGGATTAAAAGTGATCTGAGGGTCTCCAGCCAAGATATGCAGTCATCCTTACCAGTGGCATTGCGAGGACACCGAACCGCTGCAGCATCCCCAGCAGGCGTCTCTTTCCAAACCACAGAGGCAAGACTTTCCTCGTCACAGATCTCATGGGGCTCTGCAAGGAAGGAAAAGCTTCATTGGTAAAGTCTCTTTTCAGGAGGGATGCGGAAAACAGCATGGAAAGGAGAAAAAGGGGAGTATGGTCTGGAAATATGATGATGCTTGGAAGATAGCTGTCACTGTTACACCTTGCTAAAGAGTTTTTTTCAAGTGAGAACATCCAGTTTTTGGTGGTGAGCTTCAGGGCTCCATGCTCAATTCTTTCCATCCTTCAGGATCACCATTTTGGTGTTGGATGTGATTAAAATGAGGCTCTGCATAAGAAGGGGTAGGAATGAAGGAAGGAACAAAACGAGGGTGAAAAAAAGCCAGCTGGGAATATCCCCTGGGTGGCCTTCATCCAGGTCCTCTGTCTGCTGCCATCTTATGTGAGGACATGAAAAAAACTGAGCACCAATTTGCATCACCAACTCATTTCCAAATGGTGCTGCAGAATCCAGGACTGCAAAAATGTGCAAAGGATGTTTAGAAGTTACAAAAAAAGCTCTTTGGAAGATAAAGTTTTCAGATGCTTCTGCTGAAGGATATAGATATTGGCCCTGGAGTCTTTGGGGCCTGAGAAAAATACCATCACAGAAGGAAGGGTTTGTGCTGAGAAACTCATTACTTGCAGCACATAAAATGAAAGGAGCCATGAGTAGGGTGTTAAAGCTATTTATCACTCCTAAGAGTGTGGAAGGGGAAAATTATATTTAATGGTTTTCAATTATAGATTTATTTATTGTGCATTTCAAGCTAACAATAAAGAGAAAGCTGAGAGCATGCCTGCAGCTGGCCAGGAGTGGCAGCTGCAAAGCCAAAGCCAACCAGCCATGAAGCTGGGCAGCTGCCTGCAGAGCTTCCTTCCTATGTAGGAAAACACTGCCCATGCCAAGGTCCAGTAGTGCCAGTGGGAGTGTGCAAAGTTGTAGGGAAAATTTACATCTAGTACAACAAAAAACACATGTGTCCTGAGTTTTCATGCTGTTCAGAAAGGATCTGTATGTGATAAATCCTGAAGGCGTCCTTCTAGAAAGGACTGTCCCATGGATGTGATGACATAGACCATCTTAGGGTTTGTGTTAGCAGTAAAACCTTGGGAATGGAACTACCCAGGGTACCAAACTGCCTATGAAGAAGGCTTAACCTCAAGACTAAAGGGAGTGGCAAGTCCTATTGCTCAGAAGGACTAATGGAGGATCTAAGAAGCTGCCTGCACATCACAGCTCCTGGAGTTAAGCTCCAAGACCATGAGTCTTCAAGCCTCAGTCATATTTTAAATGCAGATTCTTTCCTGGTGCATCCAGGAGATGATGATAATAAACAAGTTACGCTCCCCATTTGAAAACAGATGTTTTCTCCACTTTTAAAATTTCCTTTTGAGTAATCACTATTATAATGAAATCCCAGAGGGTAAGCAAAACCCTTGCTGTGCTCTGCACATACACAGAAATAATTCCAATGCCAACAACAGCTCATGACTTCCGTAGATAAGGCAGAACATGGGCAGAAAAATGGTAGCTTTATACCTAAGTTGATGACAAGGAGCTTTGGATAGAGAGATGAAATCTTCCACTCGTGATTAGGTTATGGTTACTCAGAAAGCTGAATGCAACACCCCTGCTTTATGGCCCAGTGCTTTGACCATGGCCACAAATTTCCCACTTCAAAATGTGGTTCGAAAGGAAAATAGGGTGGAAAACTTCTAGCAATCTCAGCTGCAACGTACCAAAGCAAACAGTGCCTGTCAAAGAGCGGAGGGAGAGTTTGTTCACATCTGACCTCTCCTTCCTCCTCTGACTTGCCAAAGCTTCCTGGTCTCCTCACCCCTGCAGTCTCCCTGGGGGCCACTGAGGGATGCTGTGGATCAGAGATGCTCTTTAGTAGTGCACTGACGGGCACTGTCTTGCCCGTGAGTGCAGAAGCAATTCCCAGGCCAGGAGAGAATCATTTCATCCTTTTATTTATTTATTTTTATTTCTGTTTCATAACTATATATATATATATTTTTTTTTGAGTAACCTAATTGCACGGGGATATTTTAATAACTAACCCAATTAGGCTTAGCTCTTCTGTTCAAATCAAATCATGCCAGCGCTTCATACTTTCTCGAGAATGAATGGAGTTGGTTTATTTTTAGGCAGAAACCTTTTTTTTTTTCTCCCCCCCCCTCTGCAAATTAACAACTGCAGCAAGACCCTTCTGGTTTTGAACCCTTGCAAGGCTCAGTGCCTCAGACATGCCTTTCCCTTTTGAGCACTGTGCAGGCATCAGCCCCCGTGGACACAGAAGAAAAGATCAGGCTTGTTCTGCCAGGGCCCCAGCTGGCACACACTGAAGCTGAACTAAATCTTCATCACTCTGTAGACACCACCAGACAACCCGGTGCTACTGCTTTCAGTGGCGGAGGAGAGCTTTTGTGGCTCAGTTAGAAGAGACTCTCACACGCCTCTGCTAATTGAGAGGCACAGCTTGTAAGGAGAGGTGATGTCTTTTATTAGAGCGTAGCTGCAAGGAGTGAAAATGCTCTGTTATCTTCTGGCTAAACTTCCCTGCTGAAGTGCTTTTGGCTTTTATCTGTCTTCAGCTGTTTGCAAGCGACTCGGAGGGGTCAGCTGTCCCAAAAACATCACAAATCCATCCCCAGAAGTGTCTGCACCGAGCTGCATCTTTTAGTGAGACACCCACTCTTCACACGGACAGCCATGATGCCACCACGAGAATCCCTCCTGTCGCTCACCAAGCTGCTCCAACAATTAATTACCCTCCCGGTCATAAACCGGAGCCAGTTACGATCGATGAAGTCTGCCAGCCAACATCACATAGCCCATTGATTTCTCACCAGCGATTTCACCAGCAGGGAGTTTAACTGAGACTAAGAAAGAGAATAACAATTGTGTGCTGGCCTGTTTTCTGTCTACACACTGCATGTAAGACATGGAATCTTTCCAGCTTGCCTTTTCTTCTGCTTCCTAAGAGGAGGTTGTGGGAAGGTGGGAGTCAGCCTCTTTTCCAAATAACAGCAATAGGACAAGAGGTAGTGGCCTTAAGTTGCACAAAGAGGGATTCAGGTTGGATATTTGGAAAAATTTCTTCTCAGAAGGAGTGGTGAGGTATTGGCACAGGATGCACAGGGAGGTGATGGAGTCACCATCCCTGCAGATGTTCAAGATATGACACTGAGGGACATGGTTCAGTGAGCTTGGTGATGATGGGTTGATGGTTTGATTTGATGATAACGTTTTTTTCCAGCCCACATGATTCTATGATTTCCTTGTCCTCCATTCAGGCTTTCATGTCATTTTTATTAAATGGATTGGCCCCATTGGTGTAGCTAGAGAACGGTGAGACTGAACAAGTGTCTCACAGTTCTGGACACATCCACTGTTTTTTTTTGTTTAAATTTCCAGGAGCATGAAGGTCTCCCAAAGGCTAGTTTGAAGGTAGGAAACTCTGCATCTGTCCTCCATATTCAACTATTTAATGGACTCAAGATTCTGATGTTGATTATGGCTCTCAATGTCTCTTTTCCTCTTATGACTCTATGTCAATGGAAAAAAAAGAAAGTCTAAGTCTAGACTAGTGAGATTTAACAAGTATTCACTGAAATCATCATGGTTACATTGCGAAAATTATATCCAGCCCTTGATATATCATGTACCTGCATTATGAGCAGGCACAGCTAGATCACAACTCCCTGTTGCATTCAGCTCTCTGACAGCTTTTTCCAAAATCCCTGTCCTCCCCAGTAAAAACAAGACTGTGAAGAGTTTGGGATACATACCAGGACACTTCCTGTCATTGCACTGCCTATACTCTTCCTTGGGACCCTGGCAGGTTTCTCCTCCAAAGAAGGGTCCGTAGCACACACGGTCACGTCTCTGAGTTCCACCTCCACACGTAGTGGTGCAGCTCCCCCACACTCCCCAGGCTTGCCATTTCCCATCCACTGGAGATATAAAAAAGAGAAACAGCTTATAACGTCCCAAGCATCATTTTCAATAGAAAAAGGAAAGTTTCCAAGGTGAGCATTGGAACACAGGATGAATAAAGTAGGTGCGAAGGGAGATCTCCTGCCCCAAATCCTTGTCAGATTCTTAACACACATGAAATCAGTACATTATCTTTCCCATTGCAACAGTCATTCGATAACTGAAGAACATTCTTCTGCTTCTCCTCAATATCTTCATCCCACAGCACCAGAACTATCTCTTTCCTGGAGCACTAGTCTTATGAGGAACAGCTGAGGAAACAGAGACTGTTTATTCTGAAGAAGAGGAGGTTTCAGAGGAGACCTCATCACTCTCTAAAACTCCCTGAAAGGAGATTGTAGTGAGGTGGAGGATGGCCTCTTTGCCCAGGTAACAGCAACAGGACAAGAGGTCTTAAGTTTTGACAGGGAAGGTTCAAGTTGTATACTAGGAACAGTTTATTTTCAGAAACATTGGTAATGCTTTGTAACAGGCTACCCAGGGAGGTGGTGGTGTCACCATTTCTGGAGGTTAAATCAAGAAAAGGTTAAATGTGGCACCGAGGGACATGATTCAGTGGGTATGATGGGAACTAAATTATCTTAGCAATCTTTTTCAATCCTAATGATTCTATGATTCTTTTCTTGGGCTTCAAGTTGGGACTCTGTCCCATGCAGTCAGCAGAGGTTCAACCTGCTGGATGGCAACATTAGGCTGCCAAACTCCACAGCTTGAGTTTGGTTGGAATGCAAAAAGTATATGTGAAAATAGATTTTCAGAGACACACCTCTGGTCTGTGCTGTGGCTGGGGACCAGCAGAGCCCTCAGGTGATAAACCACAAAGAAACATCAAATAACCCTTCTCCAACCATTTCCACTGCACCATTGTTTCACCTGCCTCAGAAAGAGTTTTTGCAAGAGACTCATTTCCTAGTATCTTCTCCAAGTATCTTTACATATTCAGTGGAAATGCTACTGCTTTTGCATTAACAATGGCCTTTATCAAAGCACTGTAAAAATGTTAATTATCCCTCACAACAAGCCTACAAGGTAGGAAAATGTTCTCTTCTGCATCACAGACACAGAACAACAACTCAGTGTCAGAAATAGAGAACTCTCTTGATTCCTATTTGGGTTTTAATTAGGAATTAATGGGTTATCTCAGGTCAAATAATTCTTTGTGGGAGAGTGGGAAATTTCTCTTTTCCTTCAAACAGAGGAAGAAAATTACTGAAGAAAAAGGCCAGCATCAATCTGTGGTACTTTATTTGGTAACACCATATATAGTGTAAACCATACCTCTCGATGCTTTGATACGTAACTCTGAAATCAGTGTAACAAGGATGCTTAAAAAGGGGGAGGCCCTTTGTGTCCTTAAGAATCTCCACAAGTTACAAAGAAGTGAGCAATCTAAGAAAACATAGTAGAGTCCATATAGGGAAGTCCAGTAATTATGGCCTGATTTTCGGGTGGTTTTGTGACAAGCCAGGAGTTGGAGTAATTAATCCTTACGCGTCTTTTTCAACCCCAGTTATTCTATGATAATAGGGTTAAATACTGCTATACTTTCTGCTGCAGATTTTGTTGCTACCACTGGAGATAAGGACTTATTGAGGAAACGGTTATTTGTGGGTGTACTTGTTCTCTTGGAAAGGGGAGGAAGGCTCTCTCCATCTCAGGGGTCCACTCCTTCTCAGTCCTACTGGCTAAGAGAGATGTAGCAACTAAGAGGAGCCAGGAAAAGGGCCAGGCGAAGCATGGCAACACTAATTGGTTCTGTTTAATCTTGAAAGCATTTAGACATCTAAGCCTTATTTTCAAGAAAGAATATTTTTCACTCCAGTTGACCCAATTAGTCGGAAAGATGTGTTCCCTGTGGGTAATCACTCATCTGTCTGGGGTCTCCTGGGTTTGTCAGCTTTGGATTTTGACTTGCATGGTCCATAGGTATGATCCACAGCCTCCTTATTACTGCAAAACTTGTGAAAACAGCGCAACTCTTCCCCAAAGAAAACAGGAAGGGATTTTATATAAACTTGTCAGGGATTACCGACAGAAGGATAACCCAAAAGAGAGGAAAATCCATTGGCCACTGACCTGGGCATTGACGTAGGAAGCAGTCTCGGGTCTCTACCCAATGTCCTTGGCATTCAGCTCCCCCATAGGAAGGTCCATTGCATTCCCTCGTCCGCTGCTGGGTGCCGTTGGAGCAGGAAGCGGAGCAGGAGCTCCAGCTCGACCACTCATTCCAGTTGCCGTCCACTGAGTGGCCCAAAGAGAGATAACAAAGCGGAATGTGAAAATCTCTCCCTCTGGAAAGAGGCATGTGCAAGAGTCCCTGACCTGTGCCTACAAGGGACTGAGGAAGGGGAGGGCAAACCAAAGGAGTTACAGAGTGAGTGAGAGGGAGAAGACCACCAAGAAAGAGTTCAGGCAAACATGTCAGAGGCAATTTCTTGGGACCTTTGCAACCTCTAATTGGAATGTTAAGGCTTGACAGTATGCAAGCATCATAACACATTGATTTTTATATTCACAGTCTACATGACAGCACAAATGTTGGAATTATTGACATTATATATTACAGTACAAAGCTCTCAGTACAGGCAGTTATAACAAAACAACAAAATAGAGAATATGGATCATGTTTCCACTAAAAATATTGAAGGAATCTGTATATTACCATGACATATCCCATTTTAGTCAATCAGTATTTTTTTGAGGGAATTCATTCTTCACTATGAATGAAAAGCAGTGCATGAGTCTGGCTCCCTGAGCACTCAAATGCTCTGTATTTCAGAGGAAGCCCTTAAAGCACAAACTGAAATCACACTGTTATTCAAAGGAATTCATGCTGCCAGCCAGGAGATATTCAGAGCAGAGGTGTGCTCCAACAGGAAACCACAAGCAGAGAGCACATGTGTGGTCAATGCACTTCAGTCACATCTGAATTAACACTGCCAGGCTTGATCTGTCTCCACATAGCACATCTCTGGTAACTGAATAGGGAAGGGAGGGAAAAGAGAAGTTGCAATAGGGACAGGTTTGGAAGGAAACATGAATACATTCTATTAGCATGGTACAGCTTGAGGCATTCCTAAGTGTGGCAGTCACACCCTAATTGGCTCCTGGTCATCAGATCTATCACCCAGTCTGCTATTCCTGGAGCACTTTTCCTCATTAGCAGTGGTCATCATGCTCTGTTTAGCTCTCATTAACTGCTAGCTCTCACTCAGAAAAAAAAAAATCGAATCATGGAGAAGTCTGAATTCTGGTCTAAATCACATTGTTTAGATGCAGGACATTTTCTTTCACTTTGGTTTCTTTGACCAAGTAAAATATATGCAGCCTGGTTCTCTATACATTCTGCAAGATCCTGAATGGCCCCAAATAATCCCCACTGTGTTATATGTTTTTTTCTTTTCAAGAAAATGTCAAAATACTCAAATGAACAACTGTTAATTCAAACAGCATCCTGTAATCTCAGGTCTGAAAAAAAAAAAAAAAGCATGCTTCTTCTTGGCAATCCAAGCTTGCTGCTTCCATTGTGCATAAATTCAAAGTATCACAGCAATGCTTATCAGTCCCAAGGAAAGGAAATACAAGAGGTGGTGACTGGTAGATGATTTCTCTCTGGAAATGATAAAAAACCTCACAGAATATGTCCTGCCCAGTAAAAATTAGTTATTTTTTTTTCTGCTTGAAGTTGTCATCGACTGGCAGTGCGTGCCCCAGTGTTCACTGATATTGGAAAGGTTAGACTACATTTCCAAGGTAAAAGTCACATTTAGCAGAAGAAAGTCGGATTTAACAAAGGCCTACCTGCTGCCATGGGAGTGGAGACTGGAATTCTACCACAACTTAAGGAGTTGGACTTTGTGATCTCTATGAACCTCCTCCAACTTCGGTTATTCTACGATTCTAACTGTGTGCATTTGGAGATGGGAGAACAAAAAAGAGCTGCATCTACAAATTGCTTATTCTCTGCGAGAGACGGAAGAAGGAATTTCCTTTGAGATGAGAGCTTATTTATTAATGGACTGAAACTGTAAAGATATTTTAAAAATAGAGAAGCAGAGACAGACATTCTGCATCGGGAGCCACGTGCACTGACACAGGGATGTCTCCTGGGCAAGATGCTGAGAGATCTCCATCACAGACCCAGAAAATCATGCAGTGCTGCTGCTGCTTTATCGCAGAATCATCAAAGAAGTTCACTGGAGTCTGGTTTGTGCAGTCTTTGCAGGCAGTGGCATTGTCTTCCCCTTTATTTCTTCCTCTCCAAAGGACTCAGGACTCAGCCGGCAATATCTAGTGCTCCAGAGGAACAAAAGCTCTGTTGTCCCTGCAGCAGAGCATTTTTATCAGTTGCAGTAATAAATCCTCTGAGCGGGGCGGTAATAAGCGATACAACTGTCTGGTGTGTCAAGCACTGAGCAGTGCCCATTGTTGTGCTTCAGTGAGTCCCCCAACGCGGCACTCATTTGGCACAGCAAAGCCACTGATTGCCTTTGTGGCATTAATTAGAGCTGAAGTCTTTCAGTTGGGCTGCCTGTCTCTTCCCCCACTGTTCCGTTTGCTACAGCGTATCCACATATTTATTTGTATTTAAATTAATTATGGCTCAACATTAATTCAGGATATGCTTTATTGCCCAAGCCACGCCAGGTCTGACTTCTTCAATTTGTCTTTTTATGACAGAGTCAATTTGATGTCTGGGATGTTCTTATTCTGAGTACAGTCTTTTGAACTGCAGCCAGAAGTCCAAGGATAGTTACTTGGGATGAAAACTGTGCAGAAAATGCCAGGAGGCTCCTCACAAATGTTTTCACAAAGTTCTCATCACTCCCACAATCCCTCTCCTCCTCCGGGGACACAATAATTTCTCATAATGATTCTCATTAAACCTGAAAAATGTCAGTTGATATTACCCTGGGAGAAGGGAGGAGTGTTGGGAAGTTCCCTTATGTTCTGATCACGTCCACTAGGAAAACCTGAGTTAAATTAACAGGGGCTTTGTGTGGTTCAGGGGAAGGAAGCCACAGAAATACAATTTGATTTGCAGTGAGAAAGGAGATTTCTTTCTGGTGTTTCAAAGCCAAAATCAGGGAGAGGCATTTGAAAGTGAAATCTGAGGAACAAGTTTCAAAAATAATGAAAAAAAAATATGGCAGGAGTCTCATAGTCCATATCACTGAACAAAGAAGGATCCAGTACAGACAGAACTTGCATGGTGAAGTGAGACAGGTATGAAATTAACAGGCAAAATTACTCATCCCAGCACAATAACATGCCCAGCTGGGCTACATGGTTCCATACAACCCATTAGGGATAATAAATGATAAAAGTAAAATGTTCTTGGAAATGCCAGCTGATAGTTGATAGGGCTCAATGATAGTTGAGCCCGTCCAGATTCATCCAATACAATGTGTCCTTAGTACGTTAAGGGCAAACCAGAACCTAAGACACTGTTGAGTCTCATATCGAGGGGAGGTTTAGGTTGGATATTAGGAAAAATTTCCTCTCAGAAAAAGTAGTAATGCAATGGAACACTTTGCCTGGGAAGGTGGTGGAATCACCGTCCCTGGAGGTTTTTAAGACATGCGGAGATGTGGCACTGAGGGGCATGGTTAGTGGGTATGGTCGTGATGGGTTGATGATCTCATTTTCCAACCTTAATGATTCTATGATCTCCTCAAAGGTGCCCCTAGGTTGCTCCTCCAATGTTTTCTTTTCTTACAGATGATCCACTTTGGAATAGATCAATGTCAATAGGAGTTACATCTACAGAGCTGTTCATTGACCTACATGTGGGCATCATTGGAGATCGGGAGACCTGCTGGAGGGAAGTCTCTCAATCTCTAACTGCCTTACCTGGGCAAAGTGCAATGTTGCAGAACTTCGTTTGCTTCTCCGGGCCCTCGCAGGGGTTCCCACCAAACTGTGGGGGTTTGCATGTGCGGGTCCGATCCCTGTACCCTCTCCCACACGTGGAAGAGCAGAGACTCCATGGAGACCACTCATCCCAGGTACCGTGCACTGCAATAAGAGCAGAAGTAAGTTTCCTTTCTAAAGGAGGTCTGGAGAAGTGAGAGAGACCACAAAGTACATCATCTTCCCATCCAAAATGAGCAGTATGTGAGAAGGTTGTGTGGGAAGGCCAAGAACAAGCCAGCTTGAAATTCGCCAGAGGAACATGGTGTAATTTTTTATGATTTGGTATCAACAACACTTGTCTTTTGCTTTCCATCCTACTTGAAATAAATTGAAATACACTTTTAATTGACCCAATTTTTTTGATCTTTGAGCCAAGGAAAAATATGATTTTTTTGAGAAGATGCAATTAGCTAGAGAGGAACAACAACAAAAACTAACAATTAAAAAAAAAAAAAAAAAAAAAAGCACAAAAACCACCAGCCTTTGGAAAGCAACATCACCATTATTTTGTCACTTCTCACCATTATTTCCCTCACTCAATTGAATTTTCAAAGGCTACAGCATTATCAAGCCCTCAGAAAAGCTGTAGCCTATTTCCTAATTGCTGTCATACAGCAGTGACATCAGAGGCAAAGCTAGAGAGATTTAGAAGAACGGGAAAGAAATGAGATGTGCAGCAATGCTCCAGCACTGCTCAGGCCATCACTGGTAACTCCAAGAATTAGACATCTAAAGCCTCCTAATCTATATTGATGTAATCTTCTTCGAGATAATCTAATCTAATCTGGCCAGTTTATTTATAGAAGGTCAGTCACCGTAATCTCTAGAGGCCAAATGTTACAAGTATGTACTGATCACTTTTAAAGAACTTTATCCTTTCCAGCTTCAGCCAAGGAGGCTAACACAAAATCAATATTTCTTCAGGAAAAAAAATATAAAAAAAGACCCACAGAAGCAGGTACTTTTCCAGTCCTTCATTGGCTGCCAACAGTGACTGAAACCTAATTTTTGTGATTGTCATCAGGAACTTTTTGTGATAAGAATTAAATAGAGGAGGAAATTCAAGAAAGGGCATAAGAACTAGCTTGGTGGTTTTGCCATTCTAAGATTAGTTGTGAACAATGATGTTGCTGTCCAAGAGTTGTGAATAAGAACTCTTTCAATAGCTCAGTTTTTCAAAATAATTAACAGATAGTGCTATTTCTTCAAAACTGTGGAAGAAGGACTATAGAAGAAGAGGGAAAGGAGGGTTCAGTTCACAAATATTCCAGCAGCTCAAGTTCTTCATACTCATTTTGCAGTAGTGTATCCAGTATTGGAATCTGAGCAATTAAAAATGTCATCTGCTGCTTCTCTTTCCCATCTGCCCCACACTTGAAAACATCTCCCAGGGTCACAGACTTTTTAGATATATCATGTTTATTGCTTTTAAATAGAATGAAGTTGTCCATTCCATGTGGCATAAATGCCCACCTAGTAGTGTTTGGTCTATCAAGAGTCTCTCTGTAAGGGAAGGGAGAAAAAATGATATTTCCCAATGACATATCATAGGCTGTCAATACTCCATGAACCTTCCTTTCCCTCCTGCTTATCATGTACGGCGTGCTCAGCCCACCTGGGCATATGGCAGAGTTGTTGCACTGTCTCTGTTCCCGGAGAGGGCCGCTGCACTGAGTGCTGTAGGAAGACGACACACAGAACCTGGTCCTTGTCTGCCAGCCCTCCCCGCAGGTAGTTGAACACACACTCCATGGGGACCACTCCTCTGCTGCAGGGTCACCTGTTGGGGTTGGAGAAGAAGGTGAGGATGTGGCATGACTGGTCCCTGGATCTCTGGGGCAGTTGCACTTCAACAGCCACTATGCAATGTGACCCCTGTGTGGTGTGAGAACAAAGGGGCAAAGCAATTGGTGAGGAACTGTGACCATGGGTCAAAAGGTTTATTTTCGGTAGGGGTAGGGGGCTATTTCTTACGGAGGTAAGACACACACACGTCAAAAGGGAATGACATTGTGGACGTATCAGGGCATTGGGCAGGACAGAACCCACCACTGATGACAGTAGAGGATAGCCACTGCAGAGTGATGTGAGCTGGGATATTTATCACTCATTCAGTGATAGTACTGATAAAGTCATAGAGATTAGACAGATAGTGAATGTGTCCATAAATAGGGCAGGCATAAGGATCCAACTCCTTTTCCTGCTTTCTCCTGGCCCCTACTCATGCAGATTGGCAGCGGTAGAAAAGATAAAACAGCAGTGACAATGCCAGAAAAGGACATCAGCTGAACTAATCCCACAGAGCTTTCCCTTGTCATCTCCTTCACCTGTGAAGAGCTGCTTTGAGCATCTGACTGCTCCTGAACATCTTATATCAACTGCTTCCCTGATGGAAAAGTATTGATTGGAAAGACAAGTAAGAGCATCCCATTCAACAGGAGATGGGAATGGGAAGAACTGATATATACTGTCTCTATCACTAACATCACCCACTCAGTCCTACCAGAGGGAATGTCACTCGGAAAAGTCACAAGAAGTGTGATGGATAGTTTTTTATTTATTTATGAGCACTAGTCTATCTCCAAGAAAATACCTTCCTCTCTCAGATGAAAACAAAAGTCTGCTTTGTTTTGTTTTAAGCTCTGCATTATTTGTCTTTAAAATTTTTATTGGGTTACTAATAATTACACACCATAAACCTATAAAATAACATTTTAATGCATAGCACACAGGCATATGGCACAAATAAACACCAAAAGCACATATTTGAGAATGCATAATAAAGGAATATATCCTTCAAGTAACAAGTCCTTCAGATCCTAAGACAGATCCTGTGTCACATTATACCCAGATGCACCTGGCAGACTATGGATGAAGTACAAAGGACTGTGGTGCTTGGTGCAGCAGTAAGCATGACTTTGTAGGGATTGTACAACATGGCACAGCATTTGGACACATAGTGATGCATCCTGCACCACCACCTCATTCCCAAGGAAAGCTTGACAGCAGGTAATGTGTTAGACTGACCAGTTTCAAGACAAAGCATGAAAGACAAACTGGTAGTGAGATGTCACTCTTTGAGATTTTCTCTTGCTTGTAGAGCAGTGAGGGTTATAAAACATATCAGTGAAGTCACTATCAATGTAGGAACTGTGGTGGGAGCTACAGGGGGTGTAGACCATTAAACTGTCCTATACCAGCTTGACTGACCTAAAGATATGCTTGTCTTCCTCAAGGTGGTATATTTATTTACCAGTGTCTTAAGAGGAGTCTTCTGTATGCAACTATATTTTAGGTGAGCAGATTCAGCTCACTGAACTCAGAAAGAGGTGGAGGTAAAAATGAGGTGACCTCCACCTCATATGTGTTGCTGTAATGATTGCAAGCTCTTTCTCTCATAGTATCCTTTCTGTCAAGAAGATCAGGGACAAGTAAAAAGGAACTTTATATTTCCCCTGTAGTTTGTAAACCACCTACCTTACTTGCTGCCTGTGCAGAGGAGGGGCACTGGATATAACTGTGTTCATTAAGCCAAAGTTGCTCAATACTGTTTCATTTTAATTTTGTGTTTTGTTCCACTCTCCTACCCAACTGATTCCACTAGGGAAATGTTGTGCACTATTGGTCTTCCCCTGAGATCTGTAGGAGTGTGTGTGTGTTTTCAGGCCTTGGGGCTTCAAGAAAGCAACACTCCTATGTCCTGCTTCTCAAGTATAAGAACTCCTGGTATAAAGAGATCTGCATTTCCATGGTAATTTGGCTGCCTTTACAATAAGGAACTCAACTGTCTCTGCCAAACAGTCCTGTGACAGTCTGAATTCACCACCAACATGTTACCTTTTGGTGCCATTGTTTCAGCATTTGCCAAGCAGAGTGGCCCAAATCCAGATCCCTCTTCAGCTCAACAATTCCTGCTGCCTAGCCTGTCAGGATGTTACATGGATACCATGCATTTACTTTGCTTGGACTGTTCTCAGAGTCTTTCTAAGAGACAGAGGAAGCATGAAAAGATGTAGTGTCTTCCTCCATGAATGACTCGTGGCTTGCCATCACACCATCTCCCCTCTCAGGTTGTGGTTTTGCAATTTCCATGTCCAGACAATAATTACTGTGTCACTAGATGAATCAATGGCACCTTTGACCCAAATTCCAACCATTCTCCTTCTTTGCCCTTGTATTTGCTGTCCTTTTCACTTCTACTATACAAAAGACTTTGTAGAGGCAAAGCTCCTCAATTATCACCTCTCAGATTACATAGATGCTTGTATTTTAAATCGATAGCATAACTTATTTTCCTAGATTTATATAAACCTACTGGGACACCATGTCCAGTCAAGTCTCAGTCTTTACAGAAACATAACTGCATTTCAAACTGTGTCAGACTCAGCCATGAGAGGCTCTCAGAACCAATTAGCATTAGGACAAGCTCTCTTATTTTCTACCCAAGAGAAGGAGAAATATTGATCATCACCAAAACTATTGTATAATCTTGGGATCATTGAGGTTGGATAAGATCACTAAGATTATCTAGTTCTACCACTGACCCATTACCACCATGCCCATTAAATCATGTTCCTAAGCAACACATCTACATGTTTCTTTTGAACACCTTTAGGGATGAGCACTCCACTACTTCCCTGTGAAGCCTGTTCCAATGTTTGATCACTCTTTTTGAAAATAATCTTTTCTTAATATCTAATCTAAACCTCCCCTGGTACAACTTAAGGGCATTCTCTCTCATTCTATCACAGTTACTCAGGAAAAGAGGCCAACTCCCTCCTCACTACAGGTACAGAGAGATAAGGTCTCCTCTGAGCCTCCTCTTCTCCAGATTGAACAATCCCAGTTCCCTCAGCCACTTCTCTTAAGACCTGTGCTCCGGATAAGACTTGTGTTCCATGGACGACAAGCTTTCCTACATTCCCACAGCAACTCTCTTTTATCCGGAGAGCTCCCAGCAGGTGTCACAGAAGAGGAGACTCTGGGCATTGCTCCATGGAGCTGCAGCACTGAAATCTAGGATCCCTTCCAGCACCTGGCCAACCCTGATAGTAAGTGATCTAGCATTACAGAGAACTCAGCTGGCTGTAGGGTCTCCATCAGTGCCTGCAGCATCTCCATGACACTTTCTCCCTCAGCATTAATTGAGTGACACATTGCTGCCATCCCTCCGCCAGCATCTCTTTATTTTTGGCACATCCCATCCATTTGACATCTCGCCACGTGCTGCCTCTGCTTCATTCACATCCTGCCATTGGCAAAAGTCTCCTGGAAGTGATGTGTGGGATGATCTGGGAGGACTCATGCCAGGGACCTGCTGGGATGTCACTCTTGTGCTATGGATGGGAGGGGCATGTGGGCAGCCAGCATCACTGCATGATGGCACAACTGTGCCACAGTCCTTAGGACCTAGATATCAGGGCTGAGAACAGCTGGCAGGAGCAAATATTGGTCTTCTGCTAAGCAGATTTTCCCCTTCATCCATGGTCCACATAGCTGGCATTCAGCTGTATTTCATATTTCATGTTTTTCCAGGTCTCACATAGATTTCAAATTGCCTGTCCCCTTCAAACTGTGTTAACTGCTAGGGAAGACTCTTGCTTTGTATTAGAATCCCCAGCTTCAGAGTCTAATCCCAATCTGGGCTGTAGTTTCAGTCGGGTCTTTACATCTCCTTCATCCTGATCACCTCAAACAACCTGACCACAGCTGATGCTCCTGGGAAAGCAGCAGGGGCACAGTGAACAATTTGCAGGACAGCCTGCAGCTTCCAGACCTGGGGTCCTCAGCACAAGAAAGACATGGAGCTGTTAGAGCAATCCAGAGAAGTGCTACGAAGATGACCAGAGGGTTGGATCGCCTCTTTTACAAAGCCAGAGTGGGGAAGCTGAGCTTGTTCAGCCTGGAGAATAGGCTCCATGAAGATTCCATCACAGCCTTGTGGTACTTAAAGGGAGCTGATAATCAGGAGAGAAACCAACTTTTTACATGAGCAGATAGTGATAGGACAAGGGACAAGGCTTTTAAACTAAAAGAAGGGAGATTTACGTTAGATGTTAGGAGGAAATTATTTATTCAAAGGATGGTGAGGCACTGGGACAGGTTGCCCAGAGAAGCTGTGGGTGCCCCATCCCTGGAGGCATTCAAGGCCAGGCTGGATGGCCTTTTGGGCAACACGATCTGGTGAGTGGCAACCCTGCCAGGTCAAGGGGCTTACAATCAGATAATCTTTAAGGCATACCTTCCAACCCAAGCCATTCTATCATTCTATGATATCCCAGCCCATGCTTATCTGAAGACAACACCACAGCTGAAAAGCAGCTTTGCTTCATCAGTGCTACATCACCTGGGAATGCCTTCCCTTCACTCTCATTTGTACCATTCATCAGGTAGCAGCAGTATCAACATCCACCTTTTCTACAGCTTTTTGACAGCAGTGAATGCTGCTGCAGGCAGAGGGAGCAAATTCAGTGCAGGGTAGCAATGAGATTCAAACCATCCTTATAACCTCACCTGCTGCCAGGTCACCTTCTGCACCACAGTGCTGCTTTCTGGCACTGCTTGCTGCTGCACAATGAGTTGGACTAGAGCACATCTGATACACACCAGAATATGACCCCTTCTCACTTATGACCAGCGTCACAGCTCTTGCTCCTCAAATCATCCCTCTGAAACCTTTCTAGAGTACGAACAGTTTGCAAGGCCAATGGGCAATGATTTTTGACCTGCAGCCAGGGTCAGCACACCTTGCATTGCCCAAGAGCCGTGATGCATTGAGCTCCTGCCATGAAAAGCAGCCGTGAAGGGACAGCTTAAAATTAGATTGGATCTGGCCTATATCCAGGTCCTCTTCATTCTCCCTTTCCCAGATCACACAATTTGATGTTATTGTATCTTATTCCTATTTGATTGCAGGTTGGAAGTTCCTACCATAGAAATTAACAGATACAAGTCCTTGCACTGCACTAACAACTTGATAACAGAGGAAAGCAATACTGCTCTCTCCCCATCAAGCCCTGCACACCTCCTTCTACAGTGAATGTGAAGGCATGACATGGACATCAGCAAAGAGGCTGTACTGCAGTAAGGTCAGCTTTGGCTTAATGAACCATGGCTGTTTAGGTAGTTCAGACAAAGCAGTGACTTAGAAGTAGGCAAGGTGATGAGAAGCAGTCTGTGAGAAGCATGGTCTGGTTAGAGATTTCGTCTAACCATTTTTGCCTTCTTTGGTTAACAGCAACAATAAAAAACCCATCAGAGCAATGGGATGGGAATGAACTGAGTGCTCAGAGTGTGACTTGCTGAGTAAGCCCACACTATCCTGGGAGGAAAAGGGTTGGTTAAGTGGGTCATTGAAACAGCAAAGCAAGTCATTGCAGGCACTCCAGCTCAGCTGGGACGTGTAGGGACAGGGCAGCTGGTCCAGAGTCTGTTGTGGTAGGTCAGAGCTTACCTATTTGAGGTGCAGGGTACCCGTAGTGCTGCAGTTCATCAGTGTCCTCTCGCTTTCTGTTATCTGTGGACCTCAGCGATTGGCTTCTGGAATTATAGCGTCCATTGGCTATGGCAAGGTAATGGGTCATGTAAATACACCTTGGTTCGCTCTGCAAGATCTTTCACTACAAAGGTTACACGTATAAACAACAGTGACCTGCAATGTTCCGCTGACACGACCACCTGCTTTCCAACCCCAGCACCCTTGGCCACCAGCAGCCCCCAGGGCTATTGCATCAAACCAGCCTTCAAGACTTGGCCTGGCTGGCAGTTTAACCCCATGTTTTATCGCAATACATGGGACCATGCGGAATATGATCCTTTATGCCTGATCTTTAATTAATTGCAATGAACTGCTAAGGTGCCTGTACTCTTCATCGCACTTGTTTAATCTTTTCAGGTGTGCTGACAATGAAACCTGACAGCCCTGACAGTGTTTTGAGATCTGTGGTGAAGATTGGCAGTATATTTTGGTGGAATACTCTGCCTTGCAAGTGATATCTACTTAGCAACACGGAGTATTCAGAAAATGCTGCATGGAGCAGGCAGGTGAGGGCAGGTGAAAAGGAAAGGAATGGCTCAAAAGTATGTCTCCTTCTTAGACTCTACCCTAACATAAACAACAAGATCTGAAGGTCTGGTATCAACAGTGTGGCTTATAGTCCAACAGAGCTAACATTGAGCATCTTGGCAACCTACGTGAAAGAGCAAAGCTACATATTGCACTGCACAAGATCAGTGAAGATCTCTGACTGAAGACCATGCTGTTGAAATCAGAAGATAACCAATACATTCTCTGTACAAACATTTCATTTCTGATGAATAGCAAGCACCTGTCTGCATTCCAAACCCACAAAGCTGTCAGCTTTGCGTTTACATCCTTTGTGGTATAGCTACAGAGAAAACTAAAATTTGACTCAGGTTTTCCTTGGTTGTGGGCATGTGGCAACCCTAATTTACACAAACACATGCCCTCCCTAGTAAATAGACAAGCAAGCAAGCAATAGCAATCGAGTCCCACCCCCCAGTACTGCTCGCTGCAAATTAGGAAAGCTCAGCTGACCCCGATGGAGTCATACAGAATAATGTAGTGCTGAGTCCAAGCAATTTGTTATCTGGCAACCGGTTTGTTTCCAAACAGCAGGTACAAAACAGAGGGCCTTTTTCTCCAAGGAGGTAAAAAACAGTCAGACACCTTTTCAAGATGTACAAACTGACAAGAAATGAAATGGTGACAAATATCATCCTGGAATCCTGGGAAAATTAATAAAGGTTAATGAAGCTCCAGTGTGGTGGCAGGAGTCTTTATTGCCATCCAAAAAGGAAAAGCGGAGTGGGGTGAGGAATGATTCTGAGTTCCTTCCAGGAGCCAGACTTCACATTCAGCAGCTTTCTTCATGGAAAACACCCATTTAGTTAGTGAAATTATGTTATTCCCCATTACCAGCAACCCAAATCCTCAAAGAAACGTAGGAATAGATCACATCAACTCCTTGAAACCTTCCCAGCACTGACTGGTTGCAGGCTATTGGCTGGAAGGGGCAAGATGGGGCAGTTACTTGCCTACTGTCAACAATGGCATTGATAAAAAGGGCCCAAATCTTATTTGTTTATATATCTAGGAAGTTTGGGAACTTTGCACAAGAGACTAGGTTTACAAAAATTCCAACTACCTTTTCAATATCCAGTGTCTGAGTCTGCTTAAATTAGTCCTGTGTTCTCTGTGATACGGGACACATCCCAAATGCTGATCCATTTGCAGCACTCTTCCACCCATGTTGACTATACTCATACTCTGTATGTTCTGATTTTACTTATTTTCATGAAAGCATCAAAACCACAAGGACCAACAAAATCTCCATCTGCAGTAAGTCTCAAAGGTTTCCCAGTGACTCATTTTGACTGGGAGGAGAAGGAAGGGATGGGCAGTGAAGGGGAGATGGGGAGTTTTGATAGATTTGTCAGCTTCTCAGAGCAAGGGAAGGGACATGACACTGAGTGTTTCAGAAGTGATCAGTGAGCATGGATAGACAGGGAGACAGAAGATGGGACAGAAGGAAGGAAAGATACAAGAGCATAGTAATAAATAAATGCAACCCGGACACCTTGGCCCTCCTCCCACCAGCTCTTTGGTCTCCACATTATTGACATCTTCTAATGATTGATCTTGGTCTCAGAGAGAAGCATGATTTCCTACAGAAATGACATGCCTGCACTGTTGCTGCTCATCCTAATCAAAAGTAATCGGGTCCAACAGCTGAACACGTCACCTTGATGGCTTGCCCCACGACTCCTCCAACAAAGATTTCGTCCAAGCCCATATCAGAGTCTCTGTTGCAGCAGGAAGGATTTCTTCCTTTCAGAAATGGTGTGACAGAGAAGCAGGCAAAGCCCTATTTAGCACAGAGCATTGCTTATATTTGACTTGAACAATTACTTCAAATATAGGTGAAAATCAGTTGTGATTCTGAAGGGAGAAGGGAGATGACAGGTCTCGTGTGCACAAAGCCATATTGGTGCAATTGACTCTTTGCTGTGGACTTTATGCACCTGAGTGGTGCATAAGGTCCACAGCATTGTGCATTTATGGGGCCATGTAATAAAGGCAGTAGGGAACTAATCAGATCTCAGCAACTTGCTTCCCACAGCAGGATCAGAGGAGAGGAGTAATGCTGGGATCAACAGAAGACATAGATATGGTTTACATGCAAACTGTATATAGGAATGGCAAACTGTGGAATTATCCAAGCCCTTGGAGAAGACTAGCAGTAGAGCTAGAGAAATAATGGCCTTGAGGCAAACAAGAAAAACTGTAATTGCAAACACTTGCAAGTACTTGAGATTTTGGAAGAACATGGATAAAATGTGGACAGAGAGGATGATCCTGAAGTGCTAGTAGCAGTGGGAAGAAGAGGCTGGTAATTAACATTGCTGATGAGAACTTGTAATGTGTAGCCTTGAAATACAGCTGAGGGGAAAAAATGGGATGCAGAGAACTCATGTCTTTGTGGGCCAAGTCTCAAACTTCCAAGTGCGTCTCACTAGAAATACTCACTCTTCTCTCGATATTCATCCCCCAAATGGGAGAGAGGAAGAAAATAGCAGCATCTTTAAAATTATTCAGGCAAGCTGGGATAGTGGGAATGAAAAGACAGATGATAGCAAAAAGTGAAAAAATGATTAAAAAAAACACATTGAAATGGGCTAAATGTATCTCAGGTACATATAGGACAAGAAGCAATTCCAGTTTGAAATGAATTCTAGCCTGACGTGGAGAACTGAGATGCTCTCACATGTGGGACATTTCAGCTCTGTGACTGCAGCAATTTTTAATGAAATTCAGGGGGAGCAGAGAATAAGACTGAGACCCAGCCTTGCCACTGTCATGTGGAACATACTGTTCTTCACATTCCTAATAGTTAAGCAGCTGAGGGACCAGATCCTGGTCTCATTTCTTGCTGGAAACCAATACAGGTCAATGGGTTTGCACTTACATCATGCTGCACCTTACGGCAGGATGCAACAGCTCCCCTCCTAGGTAAGGAGAGACATAACTGTCCAATCTGCATATTCATAAATGTCAGATGGTTTTGTGTTACTTCTGCCAGATAGGATGGCAGGATTTCAGCTGGCTCCTTGTGTGGTTTTCATTCCCCAGGAATCAGCGCAAGCCAACATTAGCTCTGATTGCTCTTCCATTTCTTCAGAGCTGCTGAATTTAAGCACCAAGGATAGGCCCATAGCATCCCTCCTCTGGTTTGAATATTGTCCTGTCTTGTTGTCCAGACTCTTCCCCTCCAGGACCTTTGTGTTCAAGGTCATCAGCAATCACAGATTTTGGCACTGAGCATAGTGTGTTGCCTCTTCCATCCAAGTGGGTGGACCCAGAAGTTCCTTTACAAGTATTTGCTATCACGCTTCAGTTGGCTTTTTCCCTCTATAAAGCAGCAGTTCCTAGTCAAATCCAAAAAGATTGAGGACATTTTATCTGTCTCAACCAAAAAGAAGGGTTCTCATCAGGTTCTCTGCTTCTAGCATGGAAAAATCAGAGTTACAAAGGACAGTGACTTTTGTGCTTCAGATTACATTTCTGGAGCTGAGCAGCTGCCACAGAAAATGGCTCTGCCCAAGACAGGATACTATTAATAACATTTCCTTTCCAATGTGGGATAAGCCCTCATAACAAATTTTCTTTAGTGCTTTACAGCTTTGAAGTTTGCCCATGGAGAAAATTTACCTAGCTCATATGCCTTTGCACTTGAGTTTTATCCCTGGGGAAATCTAGCCAGATGATGTTCATCAAGCAAGAGACTCCTTTACACAAAACAGCTGAGACTGTGGCCCGGACAAGTGGGAAAATATTAAGCCCACACAGAAGGGTGGAGACATTCAGCTCTGCCTGTGCAGTGATTTCAAATGACACTAGCATCTGCAGCCAGTGCATTCAGACTTCATCCTGGGAACCCCATAGACACACCTAAATTTGACAACCACATTCAGTCACACTTCATGGAAAGGATCAGAGCTACCATTCCCATCACTGAATGACCTGCTTGAAGATCCACCTGGGGAAGCTCATGAAGACAGAGGTTGCAGTAGGGTGATAAAAAGGGTTTGATCCTTCTAGCACATTTGCTATGGCCATTTTCTATGAAATAGAAAATAACTAATTAGTTATTATCTAGAAAATTCTAGAAAATAACTAATGAAATCCTCATAGATCATCTGCAAGCATTCATCTCAGCTGCTCCAGAGAGTCGAGTGAGAGCACTTGCTCCAGATGCCATTTCAGACTGAAGTATCCTCTGGCTACTAGTGTTGAAATACACTCGCTAATCAGCCACTAGCTTATGAGCCACTTTGAAAGAAACAAGGAAAGAGGAGCTAAAAAGAGACAGCCTTGCCCTCATTTTGAAGGTGGTGGTAATTTCTGTCTTATTCTGACATAACTTGCTTGGTCAGCAACTGACTTCACTTTTTAGTTGGTGGCATTACATTCTTTCAGCAATTTTCAGTGACCCACACAGCTATGAGAAAAATATGAAAGCACTTATCCCTGTTTTGCTTTGCTGCTTTATTGGGATTACAGATAGATCTCTGGTCAAGGAAAAGGGTATTTTTTGTTTGTTTATTTTCTACTAGAGAAGTCAGGTGTCATCCACTCTGCTATATCTGAAGAGCTAGTCAGGTGTTATCACAAGGTATTAAAATGCTGCAGAATTTAAAATGAGGAAGTACTTCTGTCCAGTTCTTTAAAAATAATATATATATATATATATATACACACTTTTTTTTTTTTTTTTTTTTTTTTTAAGGAATTAGAATATAGTTAACTGCAATATGGAATGAACATTTAGGAAGACAACAATTCAAGTGGAAGAATGAACACCCTACTCATCTCTAGGAAACATATGAGCAGAAGTCAGTATGACAGCAATGGAACATTTAAAATAGATGGATTTATAATCTACCTCTATGTCCTTCCAGAAGAGAAGGGGAAAAGTGCAAATATTTTACATTTTCATGGGCCACTTTTTATTTTTGGATTTCAAGGAATAAAAAGTGCATCTGTCTTGGGCATGGCTCCAAAGGCAACAAGGGATAGATGCATGGAACTAAGCACATAGCTAGCATAGACACGGAGAGATGCAGGTTCATCTTCAGGTAGGACAAGATGTGCATAGGGAAGTGTTCCTGAAAGAATAATTGTTCACATCTTCCTTCAAATACTTTCCAGTTTATTAGCATGAAAGCATCACAACGGGTCTCAGCAGTTTGCCTGCAAAGAGGCACTTGGGAAAATTAATCAGAATTAATTCATTTTATTTGATTTCAAAGGGGTAAATCAATTTGTGCTGCCTCATGCTGTGGATGCACACTTCTTCTAAACTAGGGCTTTCAACATAGTTTGAGATCCTTTATTCCAAAATAAGCTAAGCTGAACTAACTGCGTTTTAATTGGAGCAGGAGTTGACTGGGTGCGTAATGGGAAGGGGACAGGAAGAAAAGTAAAATAATTTATTGAATGATAGCCCCCTGGGCACAATCAGCCTTTTCTGCACTTAGGATCAGCTTTACTGAGTGCTGCGCTTTAGAAAAGTGTAAGTAAATAAATAGTGAGTAAATAGTGATTAATCTTTCAGTGCTCTGCTCTACAGATTGAGTGGAGGTGGAAGCTGCCTTCACCCCTTCCTTGCCACAGGAACCACAGGAGATCCAGCATGAAGAAGATCAAAGGTTGGGGCAGATGAAAAGAAGGCATTATGCCCCCTGCTTAGTACTAGTAAGAATGGACCTGAAAATTCTGTCCAGCCTGGGTTGTCTCAGTTCGAGAGAGATGTGAAGGAATAAAAGGAGTTCTGAGGAGAGATGTGAAGGTGATCAGGGTTGGGAATGAATGCGCTGCAAAGAGTCTGCTGGATCTGGGTCCCTCCCTCATTTATCCAGCATAGGAATGGAATTTTGAAAAGTTTTTTTACCTGTTATTCTGTGTGCTCTCATGTCTCAATAATGGCCACAGCCACACAGCCTTCTCTACCCACCCACAATGGTATTTCCACCTTCACTCCAAGCCGAAGTTCAGAAAGTGTTCGGACAATGCTCTCAGAAATATGGTTTGATTTTTGGGTAGTCTTGTGTGGAGCCAGCAAATGGACTCAGTGATCTCTGTGGATCCATTCCAATTCAGGATATTCTATGATTCTTTGTGTCTTCTCATTTAGAGCCATGTCCACCAAGACCGTTTTGGTCCTTCCTCCAGCTCCATTCAGGTGCAACCAGTTCTAGAACTGGACCCTCCATTCAGGTTTAGCTTCCAGGTCTTTGGCCATGGGTGGATGCACTCCCACCTTCACTGCTCCAAGCCACAGCTTCCTTACAACAACTCCAGAATCACCAGCAAGCACATGGGACATCAGTTAAATTTCCCTAGTATGGGTGAACCTCAGAGGAAAATTAGGAGCTGTGAGTCAAGGAGATTAAATTCTATATACTAGAAGGTTTCATTTTTAAAAATAAAAATAAAAAATCTAATTGCAACATGATTTAAATTTATGGAAATGTTAAAATATTCATGAAATCATTTTAGCCCTCATTAGAGGAATATATTTATGTCCCTCTATTTGAACTTTCTCTTTATCAGGAGACATTTCCTTGCCTTTGAAGGAAACTGAACTTTCCCCAGTTATTTGCCTAGTTGGAGGAGTTATTCAAACATTCTCTACTACAAAATTGAAACAAAAAGCAGTGAATATTTATAAGCAGCCATTGGCTAGAATTTTCTGGGCAGCAATACACCTGGCTGGGAAGGTGAACTAAACCAAAGGGAGATGGAAGAAGCAATATCAGCACCTCTCTTAGCTCTATGCTTTATCGTCTTAAGAGGTCAACTATCAAAGAGACGTCCTTAGGGCACATGTTTTGCCATCCATGGCAGGCTTTGCAGCAGCCCGTGAATACCTGGTGTAAGTCTGAATACCTGTAGATTAACCTCTACTCTGTGGGATCTGCAGACGTGTGTGTGTGGCAAGACATGTCAACATGTGTGCATGTGCACGTGTGACTGCTAGACAAGCAGGGAAGGCCAGGATAGTGCACATCTGGAGTTGCATGCTCCCCTTGAGCCATTCACAAGTTTTATCATGCCTATAGACTACCTTTCGTTAATTATGGCTACGGGATTGAGACCTTTTTGAGAAGAGTGACCCGCTCGCACACGTGCAGGGGAACATGCCTCCACTTACTATTGCACGCCTTCCTATTGCACAGACGTCCTTCCTCCAGGACTCCCTCGCAGGCCAGGCCTTCATTGGGAAGGGGCTTACAGGTACGCATGCGGGTCTGCAGGCCTCCCCCGCAGTCCTTGGTGCAGTCGCCCCAAGCCGACCACGTGTTCCAACCACCTGGGCAAAATCCAGAAAATCCCTGTCAGCTTCAGTGTCGTGGTAGACAAAGCCAGACCTACACACCCTATGATGCACCTACTTCCAAGGCCTCAAAGCAAGATGTCTTAGGATATGATAGGCAGACCACACAGAGATACAAAATACGGGAGAGGAAGGAAGAGGGATTTACTTGTCAGTGACTTCTCTTCAACTATCCTCTACTTTTAAACAGGGACTTTGGTTTTTGCCCTCCTGGATATTCTGCCCCTTTTCTAACTAGTCCAGCTCTTGCTCTTAGCTCTCCATTTTGCTGCCTTTAGGACCCTATACTCAGAAGACAGTTGAGAAAACCATTCATCCATCACATACATCATTAGTGAGGCTTCTTCAGTCTTTGTGAATTCTCCTACATTGTGCTCATTGTACAGAATAGGGTCTCATCAGACCCTTACACTTCAATTTTTTAATGAAAATTAGTTTAATTTCATCATCTAATCCAGCTTTACATAGTGCCTGGGAACATCCTTCCATTTGCTTGGGTGGACTTTGAAAAATTTCCTCCTTCCTCTTGCAGTTTTATTCCTCCTCCCAAAACAGCCACGCTCAAATTTTTGCTCTGAAGACAAAGTGAGAATAAACATATGCATCCTTCACAGTGTTGAGTGAAGTGGTATAAATATTCAGTAATGAGAATAACATGGGAAAATAGATCAGGATGGAAACACAGGTTGTAAACCTTCTGACAAGTGGCTCAGACATCCTGGAAGCAGTGGGAAGTATAGGTTGTTATTAGCACACAATAAATATTTGTTCTTCAAGGAGATGGTCTTTGCCTTGAAAGTCACTTTCTCTCTGCTGGTTCCTTTTCTAAACAGTGTGGGGAATAGGCTTGTCTCTCCGGTTCCCTAACGGGAGATAGATTGTGTTTCAGCTGTAAGAGAGGCCAATGGCATAATGGCAGGCATCCTGATGCCTTAGTTGAGCTGATCAATAGGACATCTGTAACCAGACACATTTAAAAGCTAATAAGCTCTTTGCTTGCCCTTTTAAGATATCTTTCTTTCCTTTCCCTTAAAGATTAGGAGTGGGGCTGGAGAATGGAGAGTGCAGCTGCACATAATCTTCAGCTAGTTTTTATCTTCTTGGGGTGCTTTTTGCAACAAAATGTAAGTGCTCCAGTGTGTTATTTTATTCAGTATTTGTACGCAAAACAAAAACTAGTTATCCAAACTTCTTGCTTGTCATGAAGGAATATTCAAACAAGCATGCATTTCAGGATGTAATCTGTTATGAAGGCATTTAATCCCTAAAAATATACAGAAAAACATACTGCCTAGTCTCAGTAAAGGAAAGAGGAGTATAGTGCAGACACCTGTCTTTGGCTTGTTCATAGTTTGCTTATCAGCAGTAAGGGTCGGTATAAAACAAAAAACACCGTGATTTCAAAGCTTTAACCAGAATGAGATCTCTTTATGAGGCTAGGTAACTTCCTCTCCTCATTCCTCAGTTTTCATCCCATTTGTGAGTACTAAGAGAAGCTGGAGTAGAAGTATCAGTGCACTTACTAAATCAGCACAGGCATTTACAACCAAGACTAAGGTATTCCCCACTTTATGGTGTAGTCCTTTTTTATCAGCAGGTTGTCCCATGGTCCTGACAAATGAAATACTGCATGTTATTTATCCTGTTTATTGGCTGTCAGATAAACTTTTTGAAATCTTCCTTTTTTTCCTGGGTCTAGTCATTTGTTGTTTCAAGTGATTTGTCTTTTTTAGTGGTGCTGTAAAGAAGCAGTTAAGGGCCTATTACATGAAGTTATACCCATCCCATTTCGAGGAAGAAAAAGAAGTGCTGTGTCATGAGTAAAACATTCAGCTCTTCTGTTCGCTATGTGAAAGCATCTTGAATGGAAATGGAATGGTGTGGCTGGATAATGGCAAGTGAATGAGCAACCATAGCTGTGGAATGGCTGAACTGCAGCAACAAAGTAATGAATCACTGAATCATTTAGGCTGCAAAAGGCCACTAAGATCATCCAGTAAGTCATCAAACCATTCCCACCATGCCCACTAAACCAAGTCCCTCAGTGCTTCATCTACATATTTCTTGAAAACCTCCAGGGATGATGACTCCACCCCCTCTCTGGGCAGCCTGTTCCAGTCCATTACCACTCTTCAACCTTACATTTTCCTATAAAAGAACCTTGAGATTGTTTGGAGATTCAAGCGGTGGAGCACAACTGCCTTATACCCTTGACCTTACACTCTTGATGTCTCTATTAAGGAAGTTCATCCTCTTCAATTAGTACAATTTTCAGGAGGAACACACACTGAGAAGTGAGGGAGGAAGGAGACAAATGCTCTGGGTCCTCTGCAGATGTCACAGAGGAGAAGTATGCACAGTTTTGTCCCTGCAGTAGTTGCCTACATGTTCAGTTGCTCAGTTCAAGAATGACTCACTAAGCTGCAACCAAAGGAATGTCCCTTCATGGACTTTCCTTCTCCTAAGACATATAACCTGGTTTTCACAAAACTTCCTTGTTCTAGTGCTTTTTATATATCAAGCATGAGTTTGGAGGAGACCTCACTGATGCCAAAAAGCAAGTAAGAGGTGAAACACAATACAGAATCCCAGTGAAGCTAATGGGACATTTTGCAGATAGTCCCCTTTGCCTCTGGAGTCCTGTTTCATCAGCTTTCAATGAACTGCTGCACCCTGCTGATCGATGTGGCTTGAATTGCCATCTGTCCTTAATCCAAAAATAATGAGTCTGCTGCAACTGCTTTATGAAGGATTTTGCTTTTCAAAGGCATTGACTCCTGTGAAGGTCATATACCCAACCAGTTTCTATTTAGCAAAGTTTTGCTCAGCTGCAGTCTTGCAGGCCTGTAGACCTTTCTCATTCTGCACTTCTGCTCTTTTTAGCTGGAGTAAACTGTGGCTTCCATTTCTAGTTCCAGAGTTTCCTACCACAATCAGAAGCCATAACTTCAATCCTATAGCAAGGTCTGGCTTTTATTTTTCATTTACGAGAGCAGAGCCAGCCCCTCATACGAGTTTCATGAAGCCAGCTGTTGCATATGAAGTTGAAGCTCATGAGACTGTTTCGAGTGCTCTGGAGACTGCCATTCAGGGAGGCCTTTAATCCAATTTCTAAAGAGCTTTTTGATCCTTCTCAGTCAGTTCTTATCATGATCACGTACTAAAACAAATTACTTTTCACGCTAGGCTGACCCAATGCATTCTAATTCTCCACAGTTAAATAGAGAAACTTTCAAGATGGTCAGACTCAACTTTTAAGCTCATATTTTATATTTCTTGTTCTGAATTTTAAGTGGAGATGCCAAAATAATAGGTCTTTCCTACTGCAAAATAACAGACTGCTTCACTTAGAAGCCTCATCCAAACACCCTTGATCTTTGAGAAGATTTGCATCCCAATCTAGAGTTTATCTTTGCAGCTGACAGCTGTGATGTGTCTCAGACACCAGTCAGTCAATCATGCCTTTTAATTTAACAGCAATGCCTTAAATTAGATGCCAGGGACAACGGAAAAAAAAAAAACACAACAAACAAACAAACAAACAAAAATAACTAAGGAATCAACACAAGCCAATTAATAGAGCACAGGAAAAAGGTCTTTGCTGACACACTACATCTATCTCTGATTTTTTTTTCTTCTTTAATTTAACCGCCAACATGACTCCAGCTGCAGATACTTTTGATTGGCAGCTCTCTCTTGTACTCCACAGTCCAGGACTGTGATATCTGAAAAAACATTCGGAGATTACATAAAACCATCACAGTTCTGCATGCAACATCTGGAAATACTTTTAGTGGACTTCTCATCACAGTATCCAAAGACTTGGGAATCATCACCAGTTTGTGGCTGAGTGAAAAAAAAATACAATTTCTTATGAAAATGAAGAGGAAAAGATGTTAAAAGAAGATTAAGAGTGAGATTGTTTTATATGTGAAAGTTAGGTATCTTATCTAAACTTCTTATACAATGGGGAAAGTCTATAGGGGTTTATAGCTACCTTCTCTTTTATGTCAGGAAGAAAACAAGTCCAGAAGGGACTATTCTGAAGACAGTTTTCTATTATACAAAGCAGAAATCTTTCCCTAGAGAGCCATGCTTTCGATTTGATACTTCTGTGCAAGCCAGGAAATAACACTTTCAGGAAGATGCTCCTTCTGATGCCCCACGTGATGAGGCCACATAGCAGCGCAAGTGAGTTGCTCAAGTGGTTCATTCTCTTCCCTTTCAACAATAAACCCAATATAATATGTTACACTTTCACAGACTGTGAGCACTGATATCATAATTAACCACCCGAAGTCCCAAAAAAGCAAAATCATTCATTCTAGCACTTCTCTACAACCTTCCTCTTTCAAATCCTAAAGCTTTGGGAACAATGTAAAAGCACAAACTCCCTTCCATTTAATGATCTAGTGAGGAAAGAAAAAGAACAGCAAAGAGGGTGAAGACAGGTGCCCCCGTCAACAGTCTGCACTGTGTGTCATGAGGTGTAGTCTAAGGTAGTCTAAGTGACAATTTAACAAACATAAAGAATTACAGAATAGAATCAGAATTACTAAGGTTGGAAAAGACCACTGGATTATCTAATCAAAGCACTGACCCATCGCTACCATGCCTTCTAAACCACATCCCTCAGTGTCAGATCCCCACGTTTCTCAAACACACTGGGACAGTGACTCCACCATTTCTATGGGCAGCCCATGCCTATGCCTTGCCACTCATTGTGAGAATAATTTTTTCCTAATATTATTACCTAATTTCTTATTACGCTATTCCTAATATCATATCACATCACCCAGTACAGTGAAGCACGACAGGCAGAGGCACCCTGGTAATCTACTGGTTGAAATCAGACCACAAGGAATGGGAATTGCACGGAGTGTAGGCCCCAAGGGGAAGAATTCATTTCTGGTGTGAAACCAAACAAAGTGAATCATCACTCACTAAGACACTCATAGGAATGCCATGCAAACCAATTGAGTTCATTGCCTAAAGGAC